TATTTAGAACCGATTATATTTATGGAGACTAAGACAAAATCTTCACTATCCAGATGTGTTCTATAACACTTCAACCTTTTTGGTTACCTTATGCTATTGAATAGCTGGTCGTATATGAACGAGGCCCTTGTATCAACCAATAATATTTCCTTTTGGTCTTAATGAAAATGAAGTTCAATCAGGAAAGTTACCTGTAAGTCCAGTTATCCCAAGTGAATAGAGATCGCAAATTACAGTATTTGATGTACAATGAATAGAAACAGCCATCAAAACTTTCTTGAAAATCTTAAAAGGCTGAAAATTCTCTAAATAACTTAAGCTGTGTTATCCTAGTATGAATTTATCTTTGGCATATTTCATAACACTATTTAAAAAGTAAAGTTTAACTACTCATAAGTAGTTTAGACAAAAGCACAAAATATCTATAGGTGAGAAATATTGTTGCCATCATAAGTAAGGATATTATTGTTTGAAAAGCAACATATTTGAGAAGTACATGGTGAATACGCGAATATCTTATATAATCATATGGATTCGTACACCACAAAGTGTCAGTGATCAATTATATGTGATATTTTCATTTTAAAGCTCATTTTTAAACCCGGTCATAAGTATTAGGTGTTATTAATAATTAGAATAGGGAAATGTGAGAGATGAAGAAAAAAATTGCAGTCTTCAGTTAAGAGAAAGCATGAAGTCACAAAAGTTACCGTCTAAAAGCTCCAGTACTTATTTTATGTACACCAATATTTAGACAAACGACAAAACATTTTTCATCTTTTCAAATCTTACAGTATATCCGATATCATACAAGACTACTATTCTTTATCTCTCGGAGCACTAAACAGCAAATTGATCTGGCAAACTCTACGAACGTAACTAAACCAGAACATTAAGAATCTTTAAAATCAACATCTTGGAGATTACGTACTCCAGATTGCAGAAGAGTTGCACACTCGTAGATTGAGAGCTAGACACATTATACTGCTGTTGTCTTTTATTTCTTGGTTCTGGTTCATTCATCTGCTGACAATGTTAAAAATATATTTACTAGCAAATTTCTCATAACTTTTTAAAAGCACTGTACACTTTGATGATAAGTAGCACCCTGATCAACAACCAAGATGATAATGTTTCTACAGTATTTGCATTATTACACAGTAATAATAAATTGCTTTGATTACTCTAAGTCAAAATATTTTTGGATATTTTCGAAATCGAGCAACAATCAAATCGTTCACTTAACTTTAACTGAGCTTAGCTTAAATATTCAATTCAGCTACTTTTGCTAACATTCATATAGAAAATCGCACTTGTTTACTGATCTATTTCTGAAGTAGCATTACGTGATAGTACAAGTTACTAACACATCTAGGTTACAAAAATATCACCCAGCAAGTTTGTTTCAAAAGAGTTTAAATTTTGAAATAAATTGTTCATAAGAGGTTTAATTCTGAATGAGAAGAGATAGTTTACAGATATGAATAAAAAATAGTTATTACCACCCATTTTGCTTTATATATAAAATGTAGATTATTACCTACCAAAACGTCTGTTCGCGTGAATTTACACTAAAAATATTGCTTTCAATTTTCGCTGAAACTCCTTATGAATGACCTTCAATAAAGTTGAAATTTCAGGAACTATTCCTCTTATTATATATATACAAGTGAATGGAACAACATTGTTAAAGAGTTGGTCTTTAAACATTTTCAGTCATTTAACAAATGATATGTACCACTACTTTGAAGAAATGTTTAGCATCAGCTCCGCACACATCTTAACAGACAGAAGATATGAAGCGATCATAAGTCTGTCACTTGGAGTATGCTTTACTTAACATTTTCAGACTATAGTCAACATGCACAGTAGTTTTCAGTAACCATAGGAATATGGTATTTACTGAGATACGTTGATGGCAAAACTATTTATTAATTTTGACTATGAATATTCCATCATCAAACTTAAATCGCTCCATATCCATAATATTCAATTATACGTTCCTGATTTCGTTATAAAAATAAATCATGATTGTAATCAGCGAAATACGAAAGATTCGTCAATTGAACGTTGCTTCAAATACATGATTTAGTCAAGATGCTTCTTAGTAGAGTAATAAACTTATCCTCAGTAGATTAACTGAGGTAAACTTATTATAACGATAGCCTTTATAGAAAATAAGTGTAGCAAGATGTTGAACGTCTGATACAGAGCAAAATTGACTTAGTTGATTCCACAACGAAGTATTACTAGCCAGAAATTTTTCATAGTCGGATGTCAAATAGACTATTAAAGCACAGCATAAGTTTTGGCCATTGAATGAGTTTAAGAATTTACAAGTACATGTGATAACTAGTATACAAAACTATGAGACTAACCTCAGTTGTGTTTTCTTGGATTATACCCTCAAAATTATGTGCCAAACCAAAAACAAGAAGCACGATGCTATTCATATACATTATTTATTTTGAAGAATATTTCTGTTTTTAATTTATTCAAAATAAGTAAAACGTACACAAGTTAGTGAAACTAATTATCTTCAGAGATACTTGACTATCTTATGTTTAACTAGCGTTCAGTATACGGAAAACAGTTGTATTCAATGTAATTCTATACATATCAGCTAACAAAAACTAAACTAAACTTAAAAACACCTTTACTTGGTATGCCATTATTTTACTAGAATGGAAATATTTCTAATTCTTTCATCTTTTTTTGTTGTTGTTGAAACAAATGATCTTATGTTTCAGCTAATCAGTAACTTTTATAAGAGAAGAAATCAAAATACCTGAATTAATTGGTGTATATCCAAATAAAACATCCGATGATTATTTTCTCTTTTATACTCATCAACTTCAACTTGAATACTAATATATTATCAATGTATTTCTCAATGTGATTACATAGAACAATAATGTTGGTAATTAGCTGTTTAGCTGAAGTATGTGAAATACAATCATTTCATTGCATCAAGTAATGTTATCAATGAAAAACTCAAAGATTTTCTCGTTTCACAACCATAAAGTTTGAAGTTACAAGTAGAAATTCAGGATTGAAGAGAATCGTTGTATAATCGCTTAGCCGATAGTACAAGACTAGTAGTAAGAAGGTGGATTGTTTCTATCTTGCTAGGGACCCAGCACTTAATTTTTTAACCATTGAAATGATATGATCTGACTAAAATACTGGTGATCAAAAACCATTTATACTTTCCTGTTAGATTAATGAAAGCCCTATAAAATCTTGCATTCCAGACTGTAGACTGATTATCTTGACCTGACAAAAAATTGACTCATGAATTCAACTATAAAATTGCTAAAATCTCCACAAAACTCCTTTTGATAATAATCATCGTACGCTCACTAGTGACTGGCTTCAAGAGGTATTTCCTGGAGTTCTAGTGGGATGCAGTGACCACTGGAGTTCAACCGGGTCTGTTGTGAAACATTAACTTAATGAAGACATTATCACCGTTGTATGCCGGCTCAGTGGTCTAGAGTTTAAGCGTTCGCTTGCAAGACTGATAGGTCCTGGGTTCGAACCTCGCGGAGAGGTATCGTGGGTGCATGCTGGTGAGAAGTCCTATACTAGGATGAAACGGCCGCCTAGTGCTTCCAGGTGTTCCTTGGTGGTCTTGCTTTAATTGACTAATGAATTCAACTAAAGTATGAATCAAGCTTTTTAAAATTCGATTATCTTACACAACTGAAAAGAACTATGAAAATCTATTTTGTAACAGAAGTAAATGTTTATTAATTATGATGAAAATAATTCAGTTTATTAAATGATCTGAAACAAATTAGTGGCAGATAAACATTGACAATGAAAACAACATTAATAATAATAGTAATCGATATAATGGTAAGTATAGTGACAAAGGCACAATTATGATTGATTATAATGATATTTTTTATCTTTTTTTTATAAACTTCAATATACTTTTCTTGTAATTGATATTCATTTAAGGAGTAGTAGTAGAAGAAGAAGAAGAAGAATACAGAACAAAAGTAGCTGAAATGTCAGTATCTCTTGATTGATAGAAAGGCATAGAATGATATAAACAATACAAACAAACTAAAACTGAATGTGTTTACCTATCTATATATGTTGTACATAAACTATGAAAGACAATGAATATGAAAGTTATGCAAATGAATTCTTATGATTGTGTCATTGATTTTATTTATATTATGTTTTAGATCTATCTCTATGTATGAGTAATAGGTTTTTGTTTGTTTGAATTAAAGAAAAAAAGAAAGAAGATGGTATGTCACTGTTGAAAGCCAATAACGAATTTACTTATTCGAGTATTCTGTTTTTAACCCTAAGACAGAATGGATGATAGATCATATAAAGTGTTTAATACATGCATAGTATATTGAAGTTGAGAATAAGGCATTCATAAATGTGGACAATGGATAAGTGTGAGAAAAATAAACAAACTGAATGATGAAAATTATGTTTTATGCAGTTACATAGTTAGTAATAACAGTGGTAATAATAATGATAGTAGTAACATGAATCAGCCTACAACTCTTTTTATTTCACAAGTAGCCATAGTGTATAAAAAATAGTTGCATAAAATAAGTTTATACCTTTCAAATAGTAGCAAAATTAAGTCAGTCAATGAGATAAAAATGTCTATATATATGTATCTATGTATATGTATATGAATCTTGTTTTTTCAAACTAAAGTTGGTTTACATTCCAGAGGGTATGATAATATTCGATAAATTCAAGGTCATCACTTCCGGGATTGTTTGATGGTATTGTATTTATACAATTATATGTATTATCTGGTATATGTATTCACGAAAATGTGAAATAATAATATGTAACTCAAAGAATCTCTTCGTCTTCATGTGTATATGATGCGATTCAGTATAATACTGTGAATGTTGTAATGATATGTGTATATCTTTATGTGAGATTGTGCATGGGCTTATACATATATATGCATACACATATATTTGAATAATTTAAACAAGTCGAGAATTCAGTTAGAATAAACCTGAATACTTTTTCATTTCTGCCTGTTTCCATATTGGTAATTTATTGAAATCTTCTCTAGACATTGAAAATATTTCCTGTAATTGAAAATCAAAAGTTTAAGGAAAAAATTAAATCATAAAACTCCTGGATTTGTTAGTTAGATCAGTATTCCATAGTTATCCCTTGATCGTTATGTAACATTATATCGATTATTTAAATAATGTCAGTTTATTGATAATTATTCATATTGTTTACTTTGTTTTGTAAAACTATGTTTATCGACAGTACAGGGTTGTGGAGACGATTGAGTTTTAATTAAGGTCATAAATTGATCAACGTTAGAACATCAGTGAAAAACCGGAAGAACCAGGAGGACGATTCGTCCTAGTTTAGTACTCCACAGCAGCGCATATCCACGATCCCATACGCAGGACTCGATCCTGGGACCTTCGGTCTCGTACACAAACCCGTCGTAACTAGTGGACGTCAACCATGTCGAGTGAGAGGCAGTTACCCACCGAAGGCAATGAAAGATAATCGCTAAATGTCGTGGATTGGTTAAAGTTAGACGTTCACATCGTTGAACATCGGCTCAGTAGTCTAGAGCTTAAGCATTCGTGTGCAGGACTGTGTATGTACACTGCTGAGGAGTCCTATCCTGGGACGAAACAGCCGCAAACTTCTTCCAGGTTATCACTGATGGTCTAAAATTGATCAGCTAATAATCTCAATGTAAAATTAATTTTTACATTGTTATATCGGAATCTATTTTTGTTATCAAATTGTTGGATTATCACAGTTTTTGACAACTAAACTAGTAATACAATTCGGTATAAAGTATTAGCCTGGTATTAGACTAAATAAAATCAAACCAACAATTTATTATATTATGCTTCATTGATGAGAACCTAATCATCGACTATGATGATATATAGAGTTGCAATAAATTCGAATTCATTTTATAGGAAATGATATTTGTAAACATCTACGTAATTGAAATTCAAAACCATTAGCTTGGAGAAGCACAAGGCAGACTGTTAAAAGTTATGTTGGAGTTATTTTCAATTTCGATTATTGAGATTATTATAAGTATAAATAAATAGAATATTGAATTGAAATTCAAGGGTTAAAATATAGCCCAATCATTGTCAGTATTCAATTGTATTTTATAATGATAAATGTTTGTTTTTCGATGAAGGCGGTTTTATGCCGCTCAGTTTATTCATTTGATATTTATGTATAATGAAATAGAATTTGAATTTAATAGATCACATCTAACCATCTAAGTGAAATATTCAGTAAGTCATTGTCATATGAGGAATTATTCTGATAAAAGCTCAGTTTTCTTGTCATTTCTTTTTTCCACCGAAGGGATGAACAGAAGTAGGCAAAGGGAAAAACGTTCACACAATTGTCTACTTAATTTAAACAATATATACTTATATATATGATTATGAAGTATTATACTTACACATTACTTCACCATGATGGACTGCACTGAATAAAGTTACAAAACACACCTACAAGAATACACTAGATAAATATTGTTCTTCACATTCAAGCCATTACTATACCTTATTATTTAAATTCTCGAAGAGACATTTCAGTGTCTATTACATACAATTCTACATATATAAACAGTAAGAAGTGTTTTGAAAAGATCTTTCATTCAGTTTTTCTTGTAATTATCAACTCACCGAGTAGTCTTTGTCCGAAGTTTTTGATTACAAATGTATTACTCTCATTTATTATTATACTTGAGTTTTATGCAGAGGGATAGCTCATAGAATGGATCAGAAAGATTAGTAAAAATTCTACGTTCGTTAAACTCTTTTACAACACTTAACAAAATAATTTGTTGAATCAATCAAGAAGGAAAAAAACTATAAATGAGTATTTGTATAGCTCACTTCGAAGGTCTTATCATCTAAATACGTTTCTAAACAGGTTGCATCCAATTCAGGTGGGAGAGGACGTTGTTGAAGATCACTCAATGTATATGAAGCCAAGGTATATGATGATAGTAAACTGTCAATTAAATCTTTTTGACCATCAGTTTTACCATCCTGAATAATATGCGAAAAATAGATTGAAATATATGAAGAAAATAGAAAATAAGCTAATTAAATAGTTAGTATACTTATCTGTTGACAGAATCTTGGTGATAACAGAAATGATAATAAGCAATGAATTACTTTTAAAAAGAAACCCGTTTCATATTCAAACAACTTAACCTATCCGTTATAATACTAAGATAACGATTTAAATAAACTCATCAATTCAACCCATTTGTGACCGTGGAACTGTTTGTATTTTTATAAATTGCCTTTTGGTTACTTATGGATAATATGAAATATCTTATATTTACTTACGCTTGTTACTCCTCATGGAGGAGCGTAGGCCGCCCACCAGCACTCTCAATCCAACCCTGTCCTAGGCAATTCTTTCTAGCTCTTTTCAATTGTTATTCACCCCTTTCATATCTGATTCTATTTCCTGACGTAATGTGTTCTTTGGCCTCCCTCATTTCTGCTTCCCTTCTGGATTCCATGTTAGCGCTTGTCTCGTGATACAGTTCGATGAGTTGCGCAATGTATGTCCTATCCATCTCCATCGTCTGTTCATAATTTCCTTTTCAGCTGGAAGATGGTTTGTTCTCTCCCACAGAAGGCTCTTGCCGATAGTATCCGGCCAATGGATGTTGAGTATCTTACGTAGACAACTGTTTATAAATAGGTGCACTTTATTGATGATGGTTATGACAGTTGTTCACGTTTCAGCTCCATACAGTAGAACTGTGTTGACTTTCGTATTGAAGATTCTCACTTTGATATTGGTTGACAGTTGTTTTGACTTCCACATGTTCTTCAATTGTGGGAGTACGACTGTTGCTCTGCCAATCCTTGCCTTCACGTCTGCACCTGATCCTCCTTGTTCATCGATGACGCTTCCCAAACACGTGAAGGATTCTACACCTCCAAGAGTTTCTCAATCAAGTGTGGTTGGATTGCTGTTCTCCATGTTGTATTTGAAGACCTTGGTTTTCCCGTTGTGTATGTTGGGACCTACTGATGCAGAAATTGCTGCTACACTGGCTGTCTTTATCTGCAATTTTTCATGTGTATGCGATAGGAGGGCTAGGTCATCTGCGAAGTCCGAATCGTCTAATTGGTTCTGATCTGTCCATTGTATGCCGTGTTTTCCCTCAGATATCGAGGTCTCCATAATCCAGTCGACCGCTAGAAGAAAGAAGAAGTGGGAGAGTAGACAGTCTTGTCTGACTCCGGTCCATATTTGGAATGCATTTGTCAGCTGTCCATCATGCACGACAAATATCTTATAGCTATGATATTATTAATATTATTCCATCAACAATATGAGTCTTTATATTTACGCTAAGATATATGTTCATTAAAGAATAAACTCGAAACGAGTATAAAGCATTCAGTGATATGGTACTAACAGTCTAATTAACTCTTAACTTCCTTCAGCAACGATTAAATTTCTTATTTAAAAACTGACATAAATCTGTCAAAGATTATTTTATACTTATCATATCTACTATATAAAGAAAAGTTTATTACATAATTTATAAATATCCTATATGAATAAAAACAAGTGAATTTATTCTAATTCAACATGATATTATATCAAAATTGTCTATGATTCTTATTTACTTTACATGTATTTGAACATTAGAGGAATGAATTTTGGGTGAGACTATAATTTATCGACAATCTTTGAGCGGCACTAAAGTGACCATGAGAGTGTTCACCTAATAACTAGGACCAAATAAGGGTTATAAGCCAGTGTGAGGAATTAGAATTATGGTTTACAGTTGATGATTAGGGTTAGGAATTAGATTTAGAGTTTTCATCACGAACTGACATCAACTATAATGCCAAAACTCTATTTAGCCAAAGGGATGAATTTCGCGCAAAAATACGAGACCTATTATATTATACCTGATTGGTTCGTCCATAAATTATAGTTTCGCCGAATTTTGTTGAATAGAAAAACATTCCGAAAGTTAAATTCAATTATTTGTAATTTCAACGGTTGAAATCATGAGTCAATTGAAGCTAGACCACCATGGAAAACCTGGAAGCACTGGACGGTTGTTTCGTAATATTGTGGGAGTCCTCAGCAGTACGCATCCATGATCCCGCCTCGCGAGATTCGAACCCAGGACCTATCAGTTCAGGTTTTCCATAGTGGTCTAGCTTCATTGAACTTATGATCTCAACCATTGAAATTACAATAATATCCACAAAAATCCTTCTGATGTTAATCAATTATTTGTATCAATGATATTTCAAAAAAATTACCCAGAAAATAAATTGGCTGATACTTAAATTTTAAATCGAGTAAAATACCACTTAAATATAATGATAAATCAGTGAATAGCTCAGGTATACGGATATAAAAACGTTTTATCGTGAAATAATAAAGAATATCTAATAAGATAAAATCTTCTAATTTAAGTGACACAATACACTGATTTATAGCTTTAGATCTTAGAACATCTTTTACTGGTGGTAGAAAATCTTGGTTATGAACTTTATTGCTGTTATCATTTATCAGAAGATCCATAAAGAAGAAGAACAAGAAGGGAACATATTGTTCATAAACCTTTATTTTAACATCTACATATAATTTCTACGATATTTCACCTAATCCATGCATTTCTATTGATTGCTTAGAAAGTAGTGGAAAAACATACAGATGTTTCAGCTGTATAAACTGCAAGTTTTCTACTACTTCTAATCTATTAATTAGATTGAAAGAACATTCTATTTGAAATTAAACATACTTAGTCCTTTTACTTAGTGAACGGGAAATTAATGTGATAATAATTTCGGTAAATATGAGATGGATTCTTTTTAAAGTCCGCTTAGTCTCTATGTGTAAGGGCTGTGCGTTATAAAAAAACAATTTTGTTTTTCAAGAAATTTTTATTGGTAACTACCATCCAATGAGGTTTCATTGAAAAATATGAAAAACGAAGAACAATTAATAGACTTCAGTTCAACTCTGTTCTTCGAGGTTTTTAGGATCATGTAATTATCGAATATATTTGAATACAAAATTACAGAACATCTTAGTAAAATCTGAGAACCATACAGAAAATACTTCATTTGCAATGTCAATCAATTGTCTCAAACTTGACTGGTCCTTTGCAAATATCAGTCAGTCATCTAAGACTTCATTGTTCTTTCGTTTCCACACGAATCATTCTTTGTTCTCGTTCTCTTTTCTCTGATATTCTTAACCTTCTGTCGACAGACATTTCACTTTCGACTGATGATACATACTACTTATATCCCTCGACATCAATAGCACACACCACAACAACAGTTAGTTATTAACTTCCATGTAACTAGATTTTACAGATATGTAAGTACAAGCGTCTCTAAAGATCGGTTAAACTATACCCTATAATATCACAGCTAAAACATTTAGACTATCAGTTTCAAAATGAGATGCTACTTTTTGTTATTAGCAATAATTAGCTTAACCAAATATACATAAGCTGCAACATACAAAGCACTTTCCTCTTTTTTGTTTTTTTGTAAGGTAATGTTTAATATTCTCATCGGATAACCATTGTTTATATTAAAACAATGTACCATGGGTGGCCTATGCTCCTCCACGAGGAGTAACAAGCAAAAGTAGGAAGAATTAACGCAATTCCACACATGTATTGAAAATTTTTTTTCACTAAAATACTCTGATATCCGTTAACTAGGGTGAATGAAAGATACCCGAACCAATAAAATGAAACACAATGAAAATGAAGACAATCACAAAATGGGCGTAATAAAACAATACTACTTTGATGAAACTAAGCAAAAAGTAAGTAATGACTTTGTTGTTAATGTTAGTTGCATAAATTACAAACCATGCTCAAAATGATTTAAGCTTATGTAATTTTTTTGTATTGAGTTTTGTATACAAATGAACATTTGTATATCAAAGTTTCAACATTTATCTTGTTGTTATGAAGACAATTTCTATTGATGCAAAACGCATATACTTGGATTTAATATTCAAGAAATATGATATGAAATTTATAAGATCATTTGTTTAATAAGTAGATTTTGCTTTTCATACTGGTGAAATTTGATGCTTGAAGTTTTAACTTCATTGAAATGGTATTTAAATGAATGAGAAGAAGTTTAACATTAAACCCCAAAAGTCTTTTCCTTGACTTAAATCAATGAAAAAAAGTGATTAATATACTTTGGTTAGATGTTTTAAAATCCATTAGCTCTTTCTAATTTAACAGACAGATTAAGCGATAAACAGGTATCCAAGAATACGCATGAATTTTCAACATTAATCGTTACAGAGTGTGGATTAATGTCATATTGCCTAACTTTTAGTGCTGACTGTCTTCTATTATTCCAGTAGCAATGTGACCACTTGTACCATGACTCTACGTCTAGAGGTGTACTATGTCAAATGTTAGATGGTTGGAGGGGAACTGACAGGAGTCTTAGACTTAGAACTAATTGAAATTTGTAGTCATTAGGGAGCTGATGTTTTAGTTGAGATTCAAATGAAACGGTTCAGCTAGCGAATTAAATATTAATCATGTTATAGTAGCAAGCGATTTGACAGCGTAGAAAATGAAGATGTCTATAAAGGTGTCTGCACATGTTCCGTGGGATATTATTTTAGTGATATTGTGAATAAATGTGTTTTTTAATCAAGAAATTAACTAATACTTTGGATAAATGTTTTATTAACTCGATTCCTTACTATGCATTATCAATATTCCTGGATAATATCTCTGCGCCTAATAATAAACTTAAATTTAATAATGTTTGTGGAAATCAATCAATCTAAGAGTAATTCGCATCACGAAGTGACTGGATAATCAGTGAAAATGAAAGGGCAGCATTAGACAGCTGTTTCGTTTGGAATGAAACTTTTGCTTAACAAAAAAGCAGTTTCAGAAAATTATCTCCGTTTTTAACTACAGTATCTGTAGTTTTTCAGTCGAACAAGTCTAGATATGTTAATATGGGTTAATTTCTCTAGGAATACTTTACAAAGCAAACCCAAAGGATGATAACCAGTGAGATGTCATTGAACTGAAGACACCTTTTCTAAACAAATGCCAAAGTTTTTAGTTCAAAGAATGTATTTCTGACAAACCTATTTATTAAAATATTCACATTTTGTGAGTTAAAAATTTAAAATATTAAATACACTGGGCTGACATAAATTATAAATCTTCACATTGTGTTATATATCAAATAGAAATCTCGACCACTAGGTTCCATAGTACTAGCTAAATATCAACCTTCATTTCAATAGATCTAAATTTAATAACTTTAACCATAAACTATATTAAAGTTGTATGAAAGTTGAAAGCCCAAAATTAAGCTTGCCTATTTTCATCTATGTATTCTGACAATGTGGCATCAGCTGGTCATTTTCATCTGATTATTTTTTCTAACTAGACTTTCTTTTTAAAAAAGGTTACACTTTACCTTTGACGTTTAATCGTTCTTTCTTCTGTTTAAATGATTTCACTGGGAAACTTTCAGAAATATAGTTAAATAATGCTCTAAAAATGTTGTTTAACATAATGATAACAATAATATGCTCAGTACAAACAATAATGTATCTTGAACTTTCAAAATAAAATAATATTCTGAATACACACCAGAAGTTTGATAACACCATTTGACTACAAATTCAAACAGTCAATCAGTTACAACGTAGGAACAGGCAAATACATGCATCGGTCCAAGTTGCCACACCTCATTAGCACAGCAAGGTGAAAAACACCGGATTCATAGAAGCAGTTAGCTCAGTGGTGTAATATATAAAGGAAAGATTTTATGTAAAGATATAGTACAGAAAGAAAGAATTAGTTCGTAGAAAGAAAGATACGAAGTGATTTTAATCTCACAATTTAAGGGAAGATAAAGAGGGTATACATCCGATTAAATAAAAGTTTGAGGTCATTTGAATAAATGACTGACTTGATAATCTATTTAAGTGGTTTTCAGTTTCTTTAGTGTGTGCAACCAAACAGCTGATATATGCATAATAATTAAAATAATAAAAATAACATTTGATTAAATTATAAATTTAGGTTAAATATCCCTAGGTGTTGTAAATGCTTCGATTGAATTTCTCTTAAAGTACAATGATTAGTAGTTAACGTCCAGAAGAGAATGGTATTCGATCGAAACTAGTTTACCTGATTACCTATTGGTATTAATAACAATAGTTTCATTATGAATGTAAGAAACTAAACATGAAACCACATCATTCCACTTAGAAACGATGTTTGACATTCAGTCGACTGATAGTTTGCTAAGAGTAATTAAAATATCCTTGAGTATATAGTTCTAGGGACTGATATCGTAGTCACTGTTAACTTGTTCAATAATAAAATGTTGAGATTTCATATCACATTCAGTATAAAGAAACACAGTTTGATTCATATTAGCAACATATAACATTTTCACATTAGAAAACCTGTTTTTTTTATTTATTCATTTGTAAGTGGCATACATAAAGATCCGAAACTTAATATTAAAGTAGTACATTTTTGCACACATGAGTCAATGTATTAAAACAGACTAGATTACTGATGAACAATGATGTTTAAAGTGTCTGGAAATACCCTTCATTTTGTTATAGAACAAAAACTTTCAATCCATCATTTACAGATAGGGTCCAATTCGTCAGGTAAGATAACCGTAAGATAAGATTAAGCAATCACTTATTATAAAAGGATACAAAGATGAGAAATTTTATGTAATTCAAATAAATATGTAAGCATAAACGAAGTACAAAATAATGCCATTTTTTTGTTCATATTACTTACTTCGAATTGATGATAAGCTATTGCATCTGTCGATCTAACATAAGGAGGGAATAAAACTAAAAATTCCGGTGGTTCTAAGCCAGCGTAGATTAAATAAGCTTTTGTACCTACTGAAATTTGTGAAGAATACAAATTTAAGAAGAGAAAACATTATTAGTCAATGGAAACGTGTTCGTAAATAGAATAGAAGTTTTAAAAGTAGATGCTTAAATTCAGTGAATATCTTTCTAAACATATTAATTATAAACAGAAATGATGGTGATGGATATTGGCTAGCAGTGGAGTCCAGGATGCGCGTTTCGTCCTATTTGGGAATCGTCAGCTGGGTGTACCCGCAGGTACATCGATCTCGTAATACTCAAAGAAGGGTAGTAGACAACTCCTATATGTTCATTTCTGTTATAGCTGATTTTTTAGAAATAACATTTTAATCATCTAGTTTTTCGGCGAATAATCTCTTACTAGTAGGTTGACTTATCAACTGTGAAGACCGCATAGTTTTATTTAGTGAACGCACCGGCATAATGAAACTTTTTAATTATCTTTAGTAACAATCCAGTTGCAGTCCTAAACATCCATGGGAAGATCCAAGTAAACAATATCAAGTGAATTTCAACTTCACCCCATTGCACAAGCAAGTGGCTGTCAAGACTCAGTAGCTAAGTGGAGAACGTGATGGCATTTGAAGCGAATGGTACTGAGTTCGAGTCCCAGAGTGAACATCAATGTTGAGGTGCAGGTACATCCAGCTGACGAGTCCCAAATAGGACGAAACGCGCGTCCTGGATTCCACTGCTAGCCACTATCCATCATTGCTTAAAAAAGCTTGTGAATTAAGGCAATATTGAGGCATACGCACAGTATGCACATATGCCAATAACAGACTGATCAATTTCAGACTTAAACCTCAATGGGAAGATACAAGCAAAACAATACCATGTGAAGAGAAATGAAGGTGGGTAGCAGTAGAATCGAGGACGAGCGTTTCATCCTTTTTGGGACTCTTCAGCTGGATGCACCTGCATTTCAGAATTTTGATGTTTACTTTGAGACTCAAACCCAGTACTGTTCGCTGCAAATACCATCGCGTTATCCACTTAGCTTTTGAGTTCAGATAACTACTAGCTTGTGCGATGGGGTGAAGTTTAATTCACCCTTGTATTGGCTGTTTGACTTTCCACAACAGCATTGGGCTTGAGTCCTGGAGTGAAAATCAAAACTGAGATTTAGGTACATCCAATTGACGAGTCCCAAATAGGATGAAACCTTCATCCTCGATTCCACTCCTAGCTACCACCCATATCTGCTTATAATGATTGTAACTTCAGACAATATCAAGGTAATCCGCACAGGTTGTACACATATCAATAAGAGACTGACCAATTACAATCCTGAAAATCAATGAGAAGATTCAAGCAACCAAAATAAAAACGAATTAAACCCACTAATTATCTTCTAGATAACAAAAAGTCATCCATAAGGATAGCTTTAACTGAAGTCGTTAGATGGTCTTAATCAACAGATCAGACCATGTGATGTATGTAAATAGAAAACTTTAAGTATTTCTAACATAGTAATAGTTAATATTCCGTATACTATAATGTTATGAAATTTGATATTTACTAAAAAACAAAATGAATTCACCCTATGAATTAACAAATTATTTCATATTGTTTGTACCCTAGATGAAGCTAATGAGATAACATAAGTAAATGCTTATTATGTATATTGCTTAAAATAAGCTTTAACCAGCATATTTCCATTTTATGCAATAGCATGATACGTATAACAATACCGTCTATTAGATTACGAGAATATAAAAAAGAATATAAATAAATGTTTAACAAATAAAGCTGTACTGAAGTACTCCAACTGCATTCCATAATAATTAACATATACTGATTTAAATAGAATCATATGTAAAAGTAGTCTTTATAGTTAACCTTAATTTTTAGCCATAACAAAACATTGGGAATTAAGGCTTATATTAGAATTAACCTTTTCATTTATAAATGATATAGTTGAGATCATGAGTCAATTGAAGCTAGACCACCATGGAAAACCTGGAAGCACTGGACGGTCTTTTCTTCCTATTATGGGACTCAGGACCTGTCAGTCTCGCGCCAAGCGATATAGTAACTCACTGATGACAATGGTGGATGTGTCGCTCAATTTCGTGGATCAGTTGGAGTTAGACGTTAACACCATTGGATGCCGGCTCAGTGGTTTAGTGGTTAAGTGCTCGCGCGCGAAACCAGTAGGTCATGGGTTCGAATCCCGTGGAGTGCGGGGTCGTGGATGCGCGCTGCTGAGGAGTCCCATACTAGGACGAAACGGCCGCCCAGTGCTTTCAGGTTTTCCATGTTGGTCTAGCTTCAACTGACTCATGATTTCAACCTGTGAAATTTCTAAAAATCTCCACAAAACCCCTTGTGATATAAATGATATATCTAGTCAATAAATTTATCACTTTCACGTTTTGAATTATCATTTGTGTTTATCTGATTATTGATTAATAATGAAATGGAAATAACTAACCATGTATGAATTCATAAACTAGTCGTTAACCTAGACATTATGTGTGAATATGCTGGTGACTTTAACTAGTTAGTTATCCAAACCTAAATTTATAAAACATGATTCAGAGTGATTGGAGGATGCATTTGTTAGCGAATAATTCACTTCTTATAACTTAGTTTCTGATTATTTACAAGAAAAAAATTGGGTTTTTTTAACTCATGGATTATCATTCCCCATATACTGATTTCGAATTGATATTATATTTTACTCATGGATACTATGATAACTGATTTCATAACTCTTCAGATTGTACACCAAACTGTTATTATACTGTCAATGCTGTCATCGATGAGTTCATTCGGACTTTATTTGTAATAGATCTCAGGAACCTCAAATTAAGGTTTAGATATTTCTAGTTTTCTGGTAATAATTATGCATTATATAATCAGTTTACAGAAGTATAACATACAATACAACATCGTCTTTATCGTTAGCGTAAGTAATTTAAAACATTTTTGTTTGGTTAGACAGAAATGAATTGTAATAGCCAACTTACATTTATCTGCTAGAGCTTTAGCGGTATGCATTGCAGCTTTGCGTACAGCACAAAATCGAGCACGACCTGTTCCCGTCAAAGCTGGTTGTTCATTTTCTTCAAAATCAAAAGATCCATCGGCTGAATTTTGCGGACTAAATTCAAAACATTCATCTAATGATGTACTCCATCTATAATCATCTGTTTGATCTCCTGGAATAGAAGGAGACTTGCTATAAGTTGAAAAAGATCTCGATAACTTTTGTGACATAAATCGAGATCTTGTTAAAGTAGATATAGGCCACCATCCTTCCCAAATATAAACAGTCGGTATTCGAGTTATGATGAGAAACAGGGCTGAAATATCATAATATAAAAATGATTGAATGAATAAAATTACAAACTCAATAAGCCAATATTGTTTTCAGCATTAATGATCTTTTTTCATTATTACTCATTATGAAACTTTAAGCACTGGTAGACTAACAAGTATTACTGAGTATAATATTTCATTCAAAAATATCAGTGTGACCAATAATTTAAACGAAATACTCTGCTAACAAATAGTAGTTGTAAGGAGTCGACAAAAAAACGGATCTGTTATTTGATTTTTGAACAGTTCTACTCAATTCTTTTAAAAATTATGATCACTTATTAACTAACTGATATGAAGTTGTAAACTTTTCTTACAGTTTTATAACCTTTGGTTAAGGGTGATGGAGAAGATTTGTAGCTCAGGTGGATGATTTTGATGAAGTTTTGTTCTCTGAGCTGGATGGCTTTGTCGTGGAGCTTACATCGTTATTCTGAACGACATCATCAGCACAAACTTCAGATAGAAGTGAAGTGTTCGAATTCCTCCATATTCGTTTCACAGATTGTTCTGTACACCTCGATGTTGATTGGTTCTTATTGACCTTAAATTTATCATTGTTTACTTCTTTGTTTTGATTGTGTCTCCCATTGGTTTGATTTTTGTTCCCATATTTGTGCATGATTTTTCTGATTGGTTGATAAATTGGGTTGATTTCAATATGCTTGCTGATTGACCTGAGTGCCAGGCTTCTAAAAATTCTCTGGTGTTTTTGGAATGTCGTTCAGAAGAACGATGAAAGCTCCACGACCAAACCATCCAGCTTTTCTCACCATTAAATCAAACTTCATATGAAAATATCAAGTGAATAAATAAGGAAGGTGTATATTTTTCTAATTAGTTCATATGTTTATTGTCATGTCATATTTTGTATTATTACAGCATGACAGCATCATAAGAATAGTGTGAAATATGTTGATATAAATAACTCAAAATACATATGGATAATGAACTTGTTATTATATAAGAAGATCAGTATTATTAAAAATAGTAATAATATACAGCACAATTTAATTATATGTAGGAATTCACTAATGTTTATGGTATAACATGATTTGAAAACTATCTTCTACTCAAAGAACTAATTAGGTGATGACTTCATCTAGTTAATAATATTACAAGTAATTGTGTAAGGTATAATTAAGAAGAAATGAAAATGTCTTAATATGACCTTAAAAATGTTAAACTACTACTGGTTGCCATAAGAGACTTTTAAGTCGGTTACTTACTAAATGTTGATAAAAGTCGTAGGTATAATGTAAATTAAAATCTCTTGGGTGGAGTTTCGTTCTCTGAGCTGGATGGTTTGGTTATGAAGGTTTCATTGTTCTTCTGAATAACATCATCAGGACGAACTTCAGGTAGAAGTGAAATGTTCGAATTTCATCATATATGACTCACAGCTTGTCATGTCGACCATCATGTAATGTCTTCTATAATTAGTAACAAGCCTACATATTCTCTTTCAGAAACCTTTCACTGGCTGTATATCTTATTAAACTGATTTAATGATACACTGGTTTTATTCAAAATATAATGAGTCAATTCAGTGACATAATTTATTTGCAATCATTTATGACCAAATTTCTTACGACACCGGTGTTCATCACTAATAGACGAGCCTACAGTATCTCAGTTTACACACAGTAGCTGTTAGGTGACCAGAAGCGAAACAGAATTTCAAACTCAGATCTCCTAATAGTCTTTTTGGAAGCCTTGAAAGAGTAAATGCTCCACAAAAGCTATAAATTCAAAAAATGCAGTAGGACGGTTACGAGATGTTACGAAAAAAATTTATTAGGGCTATGAGGTTTCAATGGGTTCCAATAGATCTCCTTTCTAAATGATCATAATATTATGTATAATTCCATGTGTATACTAAAAAATCTAGGCATGTTTTCATAATTCTGTGGATGCAATCGGAAAATCGCATTTCTTCTACACTCACATATCTAGAGTCATAGATACATCACATTACATCAAATAGTGTTTTGAATATTAATAGATATTCGGATCCTGCATGCGGGATCATGGATGCGCATTGCTGAGGAGTTTTATAATAAGATTAAACAGCCATCTACTGCTTCCAGGCTTACAATGATGGTCTAACACTGATCGATTCATGATTTCAATTAAAACTCATCAATCTCTATAACCTTTTACTAATAGATATTCATCTCTTAAACTAAAAAGCTTAAGTTCAGTTATGAGAAAGATTATTTTTCCCATTGTTCTAGGAATTCAGAAGCAGAATACAACAGCTAGATAGTCAGTACCTAGTTAACTTCATAATATGCTTACATCTTTAAATCTTTAAATATCTAACAAAATTTCTGTTTAGCATTAAATCAAAGTTATTATTATGATTATTGTATTATATAAAATGGATATTAGAATGTACATAAACAAAATCGATTGTTCGCAGCAACTACATAAAACATACATGAATACATACAAACTAATACACCGTATTTACCGTCTATTACCTGACCAACAAATTACATAACTTCTAAATGATCAATTTATTAAAGGGATGAATTGTTAACGAATGGCATTACATAAATAAATAGTATACTGAAAATAATATATACCTTTTAACACAATGATTTTCAAAATAGATACTACTTAATATAAGTATAGTGAATAAACAAAGTATTTAGACAAATAGTGAAAGCATTCAGCCCATCAAAATGATTTAAATTTAATTCTTGTTAGTTAAATAAATGATTCTTTAGTGTTGAAGTTGAAGTTCAATAAAATTATGGAAATATTTTTAATATTTAACGATTTAAACAAATTTTATTAAACAAGCATGTAATCTTTAAACCACATAAAAATTAGCGCACACACGAAGGAAAGAGGAATATGATAGTTTAGTGAAAAGCCAAGTGGAAAAGAATAATAAAATAGTGTACACGAGCATTTCATCCTAATATGGAACTCCTCAGCAGTACGCATCCACGATCGTATACGCAAGACTTGAACCTAAGACTTTCGGTTTCATGTGCGAACGATTAACCTTTAGACCACTAAGCATACATCCAACAGTGTTAATGTCTAACTTCAGTTGATCCACGATCTTGCTCAACCCTTCATCTATTGCCTGAAGTGAATAACTGTCTCCACCCGACGCGGATTGAACTCCACTGGTCACGGCTTCTCACTTGAACTCCAGGAAATCTATCCTGAAGCTAAGATATTGTTTGAAATGATTATTGTCTTATATGATGGTTAACTTAGGGTGTTTACGTGAACATGTATGCATCACTGACTGACCTTAGTTAAATAATAACTGAAAAACAGAGCAATACACAGCTGTCTAGTACTTCTTTAATAGATCACAACTAGTTACAAAAAGTAATCCTTAGTTTATGTTATTTTACGGCTAAATGTGTATTCGAACGGGAACATAAATTTGCATTGGTTTCAATTTATCATTTCAGAGGAAAATAAATAAATATTTACACACTTACATGGTTGTGGTACAGAGTATAAATCTCCAAGTAGGAATGGAAAAGCCGGCTCTATAGGAGACTGAGATAAGTGGGCAGTTATTAAGTTTTGTGATGCTAAAAATCGTTCAGTAACTCCTTCAGTAGATTGCGATGATGGCGATACACTATTAGTATTAGTTTTGATCAATGTCTCATCAAATGGTAAACTTGCCGGATCTGGCTGAAGAGTATAATTTAATCGTTCCACACCTAGTTTGCGTCCTTTATGGTGTGTAAATTGCCAGATAGCCATTCGACTATGAGCTAATATGAAGGACGGAAAACAAGTTACCATATGAGTAAATTAATTTTGAAAATTTAAATATTTTCTCAGGTTCAATTACACTCAGTTTGCAAACGTAAGAGCTTAGAGTAAATATATCTATATTTTTTAATAATTATCGATCAATACACTAAAGGAAATAAGAATATAAGCAACCAAAAAGAATCGAATAAGATATGGAAATTCACTGAATTTTACAAGATAAGAACATTGAATGCTGTGAATTGTAATACGCCATAATCATTTTCTTTGTCAGATTGTTACCCAAAGCCTTGATAAAAAAACGTCATACATTTCTATTTTGATTTATTTTGTTTATTCTCATATTTTTAACCAAAATAAGCAAGATTAATAGAATACGTTTTAAAAGTTGATGGTCAGTTGATTGTTATGTAGGTAGAAAGTTAATCAAATAAGATATTCATGTAATTAGATAATATAATCGAATCCATTGGGCTGACAACATAAGCAACATCCTGTCGTGTTATAGAATAGTCTGACTTCCAACTGAAGAGGAAATTACTAAAAGGCGATGGAGGTGAATAGTGCGCACATTGAGGAAATCATCAAACTCCTTCACCAAACAAGCCCTAGCTTGAAATTATCAAAGCAAAATAAAAAGTGGCAGACCAAAGGAAACATTACACCGGGAATCGGGGGCAGATATCAAAAGAATGAATAGAAATTGGAAAAAAACTAGGAAAGCCCAGGACAGAGTATGTTAGCGGGTAACATATGCTCCACAAGTAAGTAACAAGATTAATAAACAATTCAGGTTGCCAAGAAAATACTTTGTTGTCAATGTCAAAAAAACTGGGATAATACAGGAGAAGCGAAGAATCATTGTCATCTTGACATTTAACTACATTTGTCCCAGAAAATCTTAAAAACCAACATAATTATTATTATGAAAACTGAATCCTGCTTGGAAAGTGTTGAAAACCAAGAAGTAACATATAGATTATTTAAATTTCTTTAGAAATTCTAAGAAGTGTGCACCAAGACAAGTACAGAGAGTTGAACTCCTTACTCACAGGCTATGAGGAATGTAATTTTTTCAGACCACTAAACTGTGATCCGATGGTATTTTCACTGTAGCTGACTTTCTTAGGGTAACAAACATCCACAATTGACTCTTAAATTTGAGCAAGATATACATTTGATCCTTAATGATTGTTAGTTATGCTCACAATCAAAGTGACTCATTATGTGAGATCTTAAACGTTCAGTACTCCAAGTATATCTAACCTTTGTGTAGTCCGATTTTATGTAATTACTAGTCAATCAAATTGGAATCGTCTAATAAGCACGAATTTCATTAATAAGTATTTATTCATTGCACGTCCCACTAATGTTTGTTATACGTGTTTCACCCTCGATTTTTTTGACTGATTATATGTACAATAATTTACGTATTTTAAAAAATGTAGTTTTAAAGACCAATTTTCACTTGCTTTGACTACAATGATGCACAAACTAAGATTCTACAATTTTGTGGAACATGTTGGCAAAATCAATCCTAAACTGACTTTTAATAATTCTTCACATGTAATCTACTCTTAAGAAGTTACCTGAATAAATACGAATAATGTTAAAATATAAATAGGTTTTAATTATTATTTACAGGTTCGATATGATAACAGATGGGAAAATATCAAGTCTGAAGAATATAAGGCTTCAACTAATAAGCAGATAAACTTCCAACTTCTACTCCCGACTACTTCACAGGCAAACAAGTACATTCTTAGGACAACATAAGTAATTAGAAATAACTTTCATATACGAAGAATGAGAAGTTGAACAGCCTTAGACGTATTCATCAGTAATGCCATTTTTAAGTAAGCTCAAATAGATATGAACTAACACTCATAAACTATGAAAAGATAAATAAAGAAACGTTAAAATAAAAACAGAACCTAAATTCATTTTGACATGTGAAATTTGATGTGGAGCTTAATTACAAAGCCTTTAGTAATTTTCATTTAATCCATGTATGTTCATGTTTCCATGTGGATAGTTTTGCACTGTGTTATGTTTAACAATAACATTCAAGAAAAAAAAAAGAAGAGAAAAATCAATTTTCAAACTAAGCAGTTGATAAAATTAATCAATAAACTTTGTTTTCATCAATAAGAATAAAACTCATATCAATCATTCGATGGAATTCAGGAATTAATTAGCAATGAAAGTTTGAAATGGGACTAGAAAATCTTTCAGATTAGAATAGAAATATCAATGAAATCGATTGACCACTTAAAAATTCATACGTCCAAACAACAACAAAAAAAAACGATTCTAGAAGTACAGTGGCTATAGTCTAAACTACATGTTCATCGTTTTTGAAAATCATCGATAAAATGTGTTTTTTTGTTCATTTTTTAGTGACTGAAGTCAAAAACGTTGTAAATGATGTGTTTTAGTGTTATCACGAACAATATATATATATTACTAAGAAGTGTTAAACACAAGTGTTTAATGCCAGAATAGATGGATTAAACTGCAAAATCGTGCATGGACAACAGCTCACAAACTCGTTCGAAGTAAAGACCGGTGTCAAGCAAAGTTGCTTACTCAATAAACCTTTCTCTTTCTCTTGGTGATCGACTGGATCATGAAGATGTCAACATCTGAAGGGAAGCACAGGATACAGTGGACATCTAGGATGCAGCTGGACGATCTAGACATCGCAGATGATCTGGCTCTTCTATCGCACACGCAATAATAAATGCAGAAGACGACCAGTGTAGCAGCACCCTCAGCAGCAGTAGGTTTCAATATACACAAAGGGAAAAGCAAGGTTCTCAGATACAACACAGCATGCAACAATCCAATCACAATTGACGGAGAAGATTTGGAAGATGTCAAAACCTTTACATTTTGGGCAGCATCATTGATGAACATGGTGGATCTGATGCTGATGTGAAGGCGCGGATTGGTAAAGCAAGAGCAGCATATCTACATTTGAAGAATATCTGCAATACAAAACAACTGTCAACCAACACCAAACTCACAATTTTCAATACAAATGTCAAAACAGTTCTACTGTATGTGGCGGAAACTTGGAGAACTACCAAAGCCATCATCTACAAGATACAAGTGTTTATTAACTGACTATGTTTATTAACTGTTGTCTACACAAAATACTTCGGATCCATTGGCCAGACACTATCCGCAACACCCTACTATGGGAGAGAACAAAACCAGATCCCAGTGGAGGAGGAAATTAGTAAGAACCACTGGAAGTGGATAGAACACACATTGAGTAAAACACCCTACTGCGTCACGAGACAAGCCCTCATATGGAATCCTCAAGGCCAAAGGAAAAGAGGAAGATCAAAGAACACATTACGCCGAGAAATGGAGATAGACATGAGAAAAATGAACAAGAATTGGATGGAACTAAAAAGAAGGCCCAGGACAGAGTGAGTTGGAGAATGCTGACAGGCGGTCTATGCTTCATTAGGAGTAACAGGCGGAAGTAAGTAAGTATGTAGTAAATTATCTAAGCTGATGTTGACATTATTTGATCAATTTTGATTGCATGAGACATGCTTCAATGTAGTGAGGTAAGAAAATGGAAAATAATGCAGTCGTAGCTTCCAGAAAACGAAGATATATATAGTAACTCATTATAGAGAAGTTGAGAACAGGGATATTTGACTAGTCGATGCATACGACCAAACTAGCATAAATATTTCCAAAGTTTCACTTGTTGAAGTTATAAGTTGTAAAGAAATACAAACATTAAAAGAATATGCATTAATTAGCTAATATAATTTTTTTTTAATATTTTTAATACATAAATCGATAAGCAGAATTGTTTATAATACATTACTCTTACATTTTATTGAATCTAAGCATAATGGACTCGATAATTGATCTTCAGAATTGAGTATATTTAAAAATTCTTTAGATAGTTCATTTCTATCATGTTGGTGAATTTCATAAATCGGATTTAATTGTTTGCCAAGTTCTGGTGGACAACTTTACAAAAAATTACAAGTAAAAACAAACATTATTGTTACTGTCCATTGTAAATCTTATAAATATATACATCATACACTGTATGACAATAAATTAGAGGTGTATAAACATTATAATCTGAATCGAATATATTCAACTGATAAAGAGGTTTAATATAGTTTAGTAATCGGTTAGCATTCATAGATTTGTGAACTGGAGGATTGATGAATCAAATATACAACTGGTTTAATTCTGTAAATCAATTTAATCATTAGGTGATTGGAACTCGAATCGTATTTGCAAGGCAATGTTTGTCAAGTAAATGCTAGTACAAAACCCAGGGTGATTTCCACTTGATAAGTTTCTAAGATTACTTGACAACAGACTTAAATCACTAAGATATGCAGTTCCTTAAACTAGTGGATACACTGCAACTTGATTGATAGGATCCAATTAATCCTAAAGACTAGTCAATATAATATTGATTACTAGACAGAGATTATTTATTTTAAACTCACCATTTCTTTAATTGGTTGAGAACATATTTTGCTGTTGTTAAGTAACTCGGTGGTACTAATTGACCAATCCAACAGAATGCTCTAATAATTTCAGCAGAATCTGTCATTGGATATTTGGTATATTGCACTAATAATAAGACACCTTGTGGACGTAATGAATTTAACTGAACTGGAACTTCAATGAGATGACCTTCTTCCATAACTTCACCACGGACAATGAACATACGTGTAGTGAACTTGAAATGGAAATAAATGCAAAGTTTGATTCAGAAATATGCAGTCAAATACATTTATCATAAATTTCTGCACGAATATAATTATGAATTTAATTGAATCAAAACAATATGGTTTATATCACTAACATACTACGACTGAAATCTGATCTTACCCACTCTACTAGTTAAATAGAAACTCATTTTCTAACGCACATCGAAACCTTGAGTTTTATCGTTGGATTAGCCACTAGTAGATTATGAATAAAAGTATGGATATTATCTAGTTTTAAGATGAAAACTGTCTCATTTGCTTATGAAAGAAGATCAAACACCTAAGAATCAATAATAAAGACTAATTATTCAAATATTATTTAGTATTTTATACTATGAAAAACGAATCAGTGGTTTACACATTAGTTGCTTTCCATCTAACAACAGATACGGAAATTAGTTGATATTGTATAACTGTTTTATTTTAATTCAGAACTTGATATTTAACATGGAAAGAGAAATAATATCAGCAATATAATTAACTAAATAAAAATGGCAATATCATGTGCACCCCCCCCCAAAAAAAAACAAGGAAACACGGTTTCACTGTTTTAAAAGTAATTGAATAAACAAATGACTATTAAAAATTATTAGTTTGATTATGATTTCTGATTGATTAGAGGTTATAGTTATATCTCAACTACAACAGGTGACAACATATGCTTCTTAATGAGTCAAAAAACGTATTTCTAATGGGTGGAAATCCAGTATCATTTGTGATATGAAAATGTATTCTTGTTCGATAGTTAACATTCATTATAACTGATAAACTTATCCATTGGTAACTGGTTTTAAACAAAACAAAATGTAACTGAACGTTAACAAGTTTACTCATAAATTATCTATTAATTCATTCTAATGGTTGAAATCATGAATCAGTTGAAGCTAGACCACCATGGGAAACCTGGAAGAACTGGACGGCCGTTTCGTTCTAGTATGGGACGCCTCAGCATTGCGCATCCACGACCCCATCCACCCCAGTGAGATTCGAACCCACGACCTTTCAGTCTCGCGCCACGCGTTCAACCAACTAGACCACTGAGCCGGCATCCAATGGTGTTAATGTCTAACTTCAACCAATCCACAACATTGCGCCACCATACACCATTGTCTTCAGTGAGCTGATATCTCACAACAGACCTGACTGAACTCCACTGGTAACGGCTTCTCACTAGAACTTCAGGAAATGCCTCTTGAAGTCAGTCACTAGTGTGCAGATATTTATTATCAGAAGGGGTTGTGTGTAGATTTTAATCCTAATAGGCCTGGATATTCTTTTTCCTTAGCGTTAACTATGAAATTACTTGAAAAGTGAAAACAAGTTAAGTTTGAATTTCCCATTACTGTAATCATGTAGCAATCAAAATGAAATTTTACCCTTGAAATAAATTCTTAGAACTTACTTCTTTTTGTGCAGTTCTTTTTCCTTCATGCGTAATCATTCGACCGTTAAATAGATAACAAAATACTGGTGGTTCTCTTCCTTCGATCACTCTTATCTAATTATTGTTACAAATATAAAATTAAGGAAATATTGTGAGTGTTTTTTTACTCTGAGGATTTTTTATTATTAGGAAAAGAATGATGCCATCAAGTGGATAAAATTCAGACTTGTGTTAAAAAAGGACTTTTTATCCACCATGTGTCTTACAAAATATCATTTATTCTGAGATATTTACATTGCTGCTTTCTCAGAGCTAGCTTCTATTGTTATGTTGAACTACATTATCAATCCTAAATCCAAATAAAAAGGAATGTCCTAGAGGAATGTCACTACCATTACCAGAAATTCGCATCACTGGCTACCCAATTACTTTGAAAATCCCAATTATTATTTATGATTCTCAAATAAATTATGAGCGATTGGTAAAATGATTATAGTTTTTTTCTCAAATTGAAACCATCTAAAAACCATTGAAAACCATGGAGCGCTAGACAATTAGTTCATCTTAATTAAACTTGACTCAGCTGTACAATGGTCAGTTACTTTCACTGGACCTTCAGCTATTATCAGTCTTGTGTGAAAACTGCCTGACTCGATCCTATTTTAAACAACTGAACATCCTGAAGTTTTTTTGTTATATCCCGACAAGAATTATGAATGGTAACTCTTGAGAATTATCTATGGACCAATACGATACGATAAAGTTTATAGACTGCTCGTACGGGTTTTACGTGTCATTGGTGCAGTTGATAATTCACTGTTCTCTAATTGGCGGTATCAATACGTCATATATTGAATGGGGGAAAAAGGCCATAAGATATGACACCTTTAAATTAGATAATGAAAAGAATGCTTATAAAATGTTATCCCTCTAACCAACTGTTTTATGCCATATTTCTGTTTCAATTTCATTAACTAAAATATATATCAAACCTTTTTTTCAATCATTTCATTCGTTGTAGTATTAACCTGTTTACATGTAATAAGAAGCATTGAACTGTTACTTATTTTGTTACTGTTGTAAATCATGCAGTTTTTTGCTTTGTTCATTATTATTATTAAAATAAAATATATTGTATAACCAGTTTTTTTCCTCTATAATAAACACAGCTGGAAGTGCCTACTAACTTTAGTATCGCTTTAATAACATGAACAGTATGAAAATATTATATACAGAAATAAACATTTGTTAGCAGTGGAATTAGGAACGCGCGTTTCGTCTTATTTTGGACTCATCGACTGGATGTACTTGCATTCCAGAGCTTTGATGTTCACTCTGAGACTTCAAATAACTAATACAAAAATGAATGAGGTATGCACAGTCTCATTTATGCAATACAGTCAAACAATTATTTAAAGTTTAACTTTAAAACGAATTATTAATTATTTGAATTACGACATGAGATTTTCAATGTTTAAACTCCTAATTTCGTTCTAATTGTTGAATAGGACAACGAGTAAGTTAGTTACTTACGCCAGCTACTCCCAATGAAGCATAGGCCACCGAGAAACATTCTCCAACCCACTCTGTCATCGGCCTTCCTTTCTAGTTCCATCCAATTCTTGTTCATTTTTTCATGTCTATCTCCATTTCTCGGCGTAATGTATTCTTTGGTCTTCCTCTTTTCCTTTGGCCCTGAGGATTCCATGTAAGGGCTTGTCTTGTGACGCAGTTGGGTGTTTTACTCAATATGTGTCCTATCCACTTCTAGTGGTTCTTATTAACTTCGTCCTCCATTGGGATCTGGTTTTGTTCTCTCCCACAGTTGGTTGTTGCTAATAGTGTCTGGCCAATGGATCCGAAGTATTTTGTGTAGACAACAGTTAATAAACACTTGTATCTTGTAGATGATGGCTTTGGTAGTTCTCCAAGTTTCCGCCACATACAGTAGAACTGTTTTGACATTTGTATTGAAAATTGTGAGTTTGGTGTTGGTTGACAGTTGTTTTGTATTGCAGATATTCTTCAATTGTAGATATTGTTGCTTTTGCTTTACCGATTCCCGCCTTCATATCAGCATCAGATCCACCGTGTTCATCAGTGATGCTGCTTAATCAGTGGGCGGTTTTTATGAAGAAAATAGATATATGTGATTCATTGATGAATCAGTTTGACTGATAGATTGGAATAAAGATCGGTGTGTAGGGGTATTTCGTTCATGCCTATTCACTGAGGTTCAAATGAATATGATACAAAATGATCTCCTAGTCTGTTATCATTTTATGTCCATTTCGAATTTGTTTAACAGTAAAACTAGTAATATTGACACTAGTGATAATGTCTACATTGTCTAACCGATATCAATTAATTTAATTTATGTAATAAATTGAAATATTATTATAAAAAAAATAATTAACCTGTGGACCTCTTTCTTCATCTAATTCAATAGTCATTAATGCAGCTGCCCCTTTTTCTGTTATTTTACTTCGTGATCCTTGCCAATAGAAATAAGCACAATGTTCACGAACATTTTCAGTTGGACGTTTATTGCTATTTTGTAAACTGGCTAATAATGAAATAAATTAATTTAAAAAAATAATAAAATGGGATTCAATAATAAATAAGGCAAAAGATCAATGATATTGAATCTAATGTTTAGTGGTGAATTAGAGGTTTAATACAAAAGTTTGATTTACTCAATAAAAAAGTAATTATAAGCCAATATTATGAATTTTCATGTGATAGGTGAATAATTTCTGATTATTGATTGAGATCATGAACCGAGTGATGTTAGACCACTTTTGGGAACCTGGAAGCACTGGTCTAACATCAATCGGTTCATGACCTCAATCAAAAACTTAATAGTCTCCACAACCCCTATACTAGTAATTTCTGATTAATTCGAAAGGTTAGGGGGCTAGTAACTAGACATTGATGTTAATTAAAATAATATTATGGATAATGACTAAACAACTGGTACTGTGATTTCTTTTTTATTGTTTTTTTTCTAGCCACACATATCTTTGTATTATTTTTCATCGAAAAAAGTCATGTATATTGATGGATTTTTGTTCTTTGAGCTGAATGGTTTGATCGCGGAGTTTTCATCGTTCTTTTGAACGACGTCACCAGCACAAACTTCAGGTAGAAGTGAAATGTTTGAACTTCTCTATATGTGGTACAGGACAAGCTGTGAACCATAAACATAGTGAGAAGAATATTTCGCATAAAAATATTTTGGAAAGGTTTTACTGGAACTCTTCATTTTCTTTATAAATATGTAAGCAAATAATAATTTAAAATTTTCAAACTTTGAAAATACTTCATTTAGTAATCAATAAGAATTAGACATTTAAAACATGAGTGTTTGTTTTCATCAACAGAACTGTATGTACACTTGATATCTAACACATATTATTATAAGTTGAATGGTAGAAATGAGTATGGAAATGCCTATAAAGTCACTTCATACTTCCTTACGAGAGATATATATTACATCAATCATTTTTTTTATATAATCCCTCGAAGAGTAATGATAGTTAGTGCAGGATTGATTTTAAAGAAAATAGTGGCGAGACCGAAACGTGGCATTAGTCATGAAATCATTAACTGTTAAGTTGAACTGAGTAATTAGGTGTAGACTAATAGACTAGTTTTTACGTGATTATCATAATCAGTAGTCAGAGGCTTTGGATGATTTAGCTTAGAATGATATGACATTGGCTTGGCCCGACCTGTTTTTTTTATTGGTTATTCTAAATATTTTTCCTTCCTTCCTTTGTACTAATTAAAATTGAGTTAACTTTATTTGCTTTTTTTCTCTGAAAAAGAAAACGGCTTACACTGAGTCACGAAACGTCAGAAAATTTAATTTTTCTGCTCCATGGGATGTTAATAACAATCTATCCAAGTCAAAGCTTGATAAAAATACCTAGTAAAGAATTCTTTAAATTGGCACTCTTTATTTTCATTTTGATCTTCAGTTTTTTTTAAAAAAATTAACCTAGTAATCTTTTATATTCTAGGAATTCATATTTTCTTCTGGAATCATATCTCCTGTATGTATTGTCTTTTACAACCACTAATATTGTTAATAGCCAAAATACTCCAGAATCACGCAGTGTAAATGTCATATAACAACTTGAATCTATGTACATATGCGTCTAGTTCTAATTTTGATATGAATGACTGACTGATACTATTATTCATATCTATATGATTACTAATTGTCAATGCTTCTAATTTGAATTTGTCCATTAAAGATAGTATTTATGTTGTATTAAATAAACTTACGAATAATACAACTATTATTTGTACAGATAACTTATCATTTAGTCGTTTATCATTATGGTTGCCACAGTTCAAAAAGGTTAATGCGTTAAAGTTTAAATGTGATATTTTTAATTTGATCAGTTTTAATACACCAAACACAATTGTTTCCAAATGTGTTCTTAGTTTACAAAATATATATATATATATATATATATATATATATATATATATATATATATATATATATATATATATATGTGAACACTTTGGTATCTTGCATCGACTTATCTATGAAATGAAGAACAAGATTAATTGACTATGGTCGTGATAATGGACAATTATTAGTTTGCTACGTGCAAGAAATATACCTAATAAGCAATTTTATATTTCAGTATAAAAAAAGTAACTTAACTATAACATTGGGAATATACAGTAGGTTTCATTTAATTTTTGTCCATTAAACTAGTTCAAATGATTTAAAACAACATAACACCGGTAATTAATTAGTGAACAGCTGTAGATTTGAAATAAATTCTGTCCATATTTTAGGTTTCATTTAAAACTATCATTCAAAATAATTTATAATTTGTTGAATCATTGAATGAAATATTGTTAAAAAGTAGATTAATTATATGTCTACAATGTACATATTGTGAATGATTTAATCGGAAGAGTTAGACTAAAAAGCTTGAAGAATGTTACCGATGCAGGTAGCCTCCTTTTACTTGTAATTTCAACAATACTCATCTAAGATTTGTTGGTAATATCATTTTGTAAGCAGAAACAATGAACTAATAAGTTAGAGCATCAGTGATATTTTTAGACATTTGTGATAAACATAACAATGTTAGTTGTAAGGTTTATTTCTGGTGACTAATTATGGTTTGCATAGAGAGTGCTGGTGGGCGGTTTATGCTCCTCCACGAGGAGTATTAGGTAAGTAAGTAATTATGACTTTTTATATGTAAATGTTATGTGAAATGTATCAAGTTATTAAAATCCGTATGTATTCATTCATACAGTTAACGTTTTTTAATCACCACAATGTTCAATATCAACTGTTATCTCTTAACTAAAAGATCACAACTTAGATTAATAAATTCATCATTTAAATTATACATGAAACTACAATTCAACGGGGATGTGTCTAGTGATACTCTGAAAGATAGGTTAACGAAAGTAATTGGCACGACATTCTACGCAACCAATCTTGCGTTGATCTTCTCGAGTCAACCAGTGATGTCTACTCAAACGAAGGATAAGTTACCTCAGTTGGTCTCCTCAATGTGCATCTACAAATTCAGCTGCTCCTGTGGCGATAGCTATATCGGGCGTACTACCAGGTAACTTAACCAACGAATGAGTGAACATCTACCAGCTTGGTTTATAAGTAGCTAGATAAAAACATAACACAGTCCTATCTTGGCACATCTTATTGATAGAGGTCATAATGTAGATAAATCGGAAGCGTTTCGAGTGATCTATCGTACATCTGCATTATTTCCCAACGAAGTTCATTCCCATTTCCTACATATAGCTGAAGCCATAGGAATTCTTACATATAACCACAATTTATATGTACAGAAGATATTAAGCTACAGTTTCGTTAGAATACTAAACATTCAATCTAAGTATTCTTAAGTGCATGAAAATAACATAACTAAATCTTAATGCTAAATAATTTTAAACACGATGAAAAGTATTTCAGTTTTTGCTTTCTGTAAGCCTGAAGAAAATGAGGTAAAAATCATTTCCATCTTTATTAAATAGATGAAAATTAAGCTTATACAATTGGTGATATATTACACTGAGAACATTTTATATATTAAAATTTCTATGTATCAATTTTTCTAAGAACAATATATTGATCAGTTAACTACAAAGAGGAAATAAATAAATTTGCAACTCTGCAACTTGTCATTTAATTTCAGTACAAAAATATGAGAACATTGAGATACACTTGAGTTAGTTTAATACACTTCATATGTAAAGCCTCAGACTGAAAGACTATGGGTTATTTACAGATGCGACTTTCATGACATGATCCAATGAGGGCATACTTTAAATAACTCTGCTCTCCTACTTCTGTAGTGGATAGAAATGAAATGTTAGTCTACGATTTTATGGCCAATTACCATAAATGTTTGTCGGAAATAGATGCTGCAATAACATTAAAATCTTTTCGTCGTCAAAGTCACCATCAACATTTTACTTTCAACAATTATAAACGAAAATATTTACTTACTATAAGCAATTTTATATGACCATCTGATGACATAAGTATCTTCTCTATGAAATTGTCCATGACTTGTTAAAGGTATTTCGTACCTAGCAAATTCGGAAATATGCCATACACGAAGTTCATTTGTTTCTACCCAAAACTGTCTTATTATACCATCTTCATAACGACATACTTTACCACCACGACCAATGTAACGTCCTTCAAGTGTTAGTAGATTTGGAGGAGGTGGTGGATTATTAATTGCAGTTTCATAGAGTTCATTAGCTGAATATGGTTCCATAGTCAATGAAGCTATAGCAGGAGAACTCTTTAAAATATTCATCAAGAAAGTAATTAGGAAAACTGTGTTTACAAATATGAACATTTATTGTGAAATATATTTTACGCAAAATTCACCTACCATCTAAGAATACTGCCCATTCTATAAACTTTAGAAACGAATTGGACAACTTATATACTGCATACACTGACACAATCATCTGTTTACATGAATCATGAATTTATGAATAGATACTATGTAAAATGACTATCATTTGTTAATCAAGCTTGTAAATGAGTTTTGAAATATTAATTATTGAAAGGTACATAAATGTGAACAATTCTTTAATTCACTTGGTACTGTTTACTTGAAGCGTTCCATTGATGTTTAGGGCTGCAATTGATCAGTCTATTATTGCATACGTGCATTCTGTGCGAATTGCCTCAATATTGCTATAATTCATAAACATTCTGGGCAAAGATGGATAGTAGTTAGCAGTGGAATCCAGGACGCACGTTTCATCTTATTTGGGATACATTAACTGTATGTACCTGCATCTCATAGTTGATGTTCACTTGGTCAATATCTAGGCAATACGCACAATATGGACATACGCCAATAACAGACTGATCAATTGCAGTCCTAAACATCAATGCGAAGATCCAAGTAAACAATACCGAGTAAACTTAAACTTCACCCCATCGCACAAGCAAGTGACTGTCAGGACTCGGTAGCTAACTGGATAACACGATGGCGTTTGAAACGAACGGTACTGAGTCCAATTTCTATAATGAACATCAACCCTGAGATACAGGTACATCCATCTGACGAGTCCCAAATATGACGAAATCTACATCCTAGATTCTACTGCTATCCACTATCCATCTTTGTGAATAACTTATTTAATATAGATTAAAACAGTTTACACTGATCTGGGTCTTTTTTTCTATCTATTAACTGATAAATGTTAAATTATTGATCTAAGGAGAAAATCAACATTATCATATTTGAGAAGAGGTTTTGTGGACACTATAGTAATTCCAATAGTTGAGATCATTGCAATTACTATAATGTTTACAAAACCCCTTCTGATATTAATCAACATATGCTCACAAGTGACTGGTTTCAAGAGATATATTCCGGAGTTCTAGTGAGAAACAGTGACCAGTGAAGGTCAACCCGGTCCGTTGTGAGATATCGGCTCACTAAAGATAATGGTGGATATGTCGCCTAATTTAGTGGACTAGTTGAAGTTAGACATTAACATTGTTGGATGCCGGCCCAGTAGTCTAGTGGTTAAGCGCTTGCGCGCGAGAGTTATAGGTCCTGGGTTCGAATCTCGCGGTGGGGGGGCGAGATCGTGGACGAGCACTGCTGAGAAGTCCCGTACTAGAACGAAACAGCCTTCCAGTGTTTCCGGGTTTCTATGGTGGTTTGGCTTCAACTGACTCATGATCTCAACCATTGCAATTATCATGAATTTCTCAGCATTTTACAGATTATAAAAGTTATAAAGATAAAACTATACCGACAAATTGATCTTAATTGTTTCATTGGATTCATTCAATAAAATAATAATAATAATAAATATCCAGTACAAATTGTCTATTAGCACTTTTACTTGGTAAATATTCATTTTATAATAATTTACTAAATTATATTCTTTGTACAACTAATTAGAACGTATGGCTTACTATAGTTTAGTAAATTAAATAAATGTGAATACTTGGTTATTATTATTATTCTGTTGTCATAACTGAGATAATAATATTATAAATGTGTTAAGAAATTAAATATAGTAAAGAAGATTCTAGAATTTGCTACCTAGAAACCATTGAATTATAGATTTATCATTATTTAGTTGTAATAAAACTACATACCATACTTTAGAACAAAAAAATGGTATACTACAAAATTAGTAGAATAAGTATACATCATAGTTGATTTATGGTTTGTGTAAGTGAATTTTTAAAAAAAATCTAATTACATGAGACTAACAAATAAATATATTTATACCTACCTCCGTGGAGATTGATTTTCCAGGTTTCAATGATTTTATTTGAATTCTTGAAGTATCAGGCCAATCAAAGAATTTCTCTTTAAATAAGACTGTTTCACCTCTATCCGTTACTTTGCCTAATAAAGTCCATTCTGGTCGTTTACATCCAGAAGCTAATATATCACTGGTGTGTGCTAAAACAATTTTTTTTAAAAAATAATAAGATGCACTTACTACGGATCAAAAAGATTCTTCATTTTGTTGAATAAAATTGTTTTAAACGTATGTATATTAGTTAAACAAAATTGTACTTGTAGTTTTCACTGAAGAAAATTCAAATCCTTCGAGTTAATAATCAACATCAGCTGATAATGAGTAATCCAATAATCGAGAAACTAAAGTCACAATCATCGAATAAAAACAACGTTTCCAGTTGAATCAATTGATGAATACGACTTTATTCAGCTTATGAAAAATAAGTAACATATTTTTTTCCGAAACAAACTATTTAAATACAGAATCATTTGACATAGACGTATACATAGATTCGTAAACAAGTGTATAAATTAATCGGGTTTAATGTCATTTATCTTTACACACAGTTACACAATGTCATAAAAAAATATAACAACAAGTACACTTTATGAAGGTTTCAAGAACTAAAGAAATTACTTCCTTATCCTTTTATTTATTTATTGATAATGTAAATCATTCTGTGACAGTTTTTTTTCCTTTTTGAAATTGTTCTGAATATCTGCAACGTTAAGTGATGTATGTTGAGCCGTTTCAATTCATGATAACATATCATATCGTATACACTCCTCTTAATTCTTCGACAAAAATATGTAATTAGATACATAGGACTGTTGAAAAATAACATTCGCTTGGTTTTATCGCTTCAGTCTATTTAAGATGCTTGAAATACATAGCATAAGTAAAGTGAAAAACTAATCATTTAGTTTGTCTGTCAATCATTCATTTAAGTCAGATATTGATATACCAATAAGTTCAGTACATTAAACTACTGTCGTACTTCGAAAGAAAGGAAAAAAAACACAACTAAAAACAGTAAAAGGTTACTGAATAGTGTCAGTCATGTAGCAGATAAAGTATGGTTAAATAACTAGTTTGTTATAAGTAAAATGATATTTATAACGATGTTTATTGTCAGTGTACATGATAATAGACAAAAATACATAATCAATATCAGATCACAGAAGTCCAATTTAGATTTGCTCAAATTCAACTGATAGTATTACAGTCCAGAGTTAAATCGATACACTGAGATCTACTTCAAATTTTACATTTCCACTATTAAATATTCAATTACAATTAAATTAAATCCGAATATTGAACAAAAGAGGTAGCATTTTGGGGGTGAAACGATTTTTACTTTGACATGTATACACTGAATCTTCCATATAAATACTACTTATATAAATCAGATGTAATTATGCTGATTTATTGTTAGAAACATAGATTAAGTAATTCATTTCAGCGGTACAAAAAATCGTAAGTACCTGCCACCATTAAGGAATCCTGCATTAGATATGGATCAGATAAGTGAGATAATGGACTGTCAAACTAACCGTATAGAAGCTTTTCCTAATACGATAGACAAACTGTTTCAAATCATAATCGCAAACACCTTTTTCTCTTTAAACAAGAATTGAAGTTATATTCGTCGACAACACTATGGTTGTCGGTGACTTTTAATGTTTCAATCTTTATCAAAATTTATAAACGTTGTTTCAACCATCAGGGTTTCTTTGTTACTTGTTACTATATCCTCTGATGAATCCTCTTTGAAATATAGTCTACTAAATTTTATGTCTTTGAAACAAAAGGATTATTATTTTGGTGTTGGGGCAGTTTGCAACAGGAAAAATAACTATATCAACACGATATTTTATAATAAAAATCAATCCGCATATCATTACAGCCTATGTCTTGAAACATCATATATAAGGAGAGAATTTCATAATGTTTCGTACAACCAATACTATCAAAACAATGACTTTCATCTAGTTCGCTAATAAACTGTTTTACTATCTTAGCTATAATAGTGGATAATAAACCAGGTTTAAAACAAAGTTTAACTAATGAGAACCTCAACTTGTTTATGATTCTTATTTCTTTGTATAATAGCTTCCGCAGAAGGCGAGTTAATAGCCAGTTACTTTATTGTATGTGCTCGTAAAACGAGTGCAGAAAACAATTACCCATGCAACTCTGGTGATGATTGATTCTCCTCATAGCGAGTGATTTCAGCATTTATATGTCTTTAATTTATCATGCCATAAATTAAGAGATGTTTTTATGACGCGTATCGTATTAAATAATGATATTGCACCTGATATGACTTTGCTTTTCTTCCAACCCGTAGGACGAAACTGGTGAGTTCAGAACTCAAGAACTAACCATATTTCCGTGAAGTACAGGTTTTCCTACGTTATAAGCAACTAGAATACACTGCCGTTAGAAGCGGTATTTTATTTGATCAATTGATACAAGATTAATGGCATTTTATTGTTGAAGCTGAAATCCAAAACTCGGATTCCAAATCTTATTGTATCAGTCTTTGATGGTTTGAAGTAATCATTTTGTTGATTGTTTACTATATTTTCTATAAGTTAGTCTGCCATTGATGTTAGTAAATAGATATGAACTACTGAATTCCTTCACAGCGGTCAAACGATACTGGCACTCCCTGCAACATCTTATGGTCCTCAATTCGGAGGCATGTTGGGTAGTAAATGGTCACTAGAGAATACCTCCAAGCTAAAACAGCTGTCTAGTGCTTCCTAGAAATCTGTGAATGCCCAGCCAATATTTTTCCATGATGTAAACTATCGTCAAAGGAAAATATTTTCCATAAAACACTAGATTAGACAAGATTTATTACAAAGAAATAATAAAATCTTCACTGAAAATGACGTTGTCTCTTTTACCATTCTCTATAAGCTTTCCAATTAGAATTATAACAGAATTACGCCTTACATACTAAGTAAAGTAGTAAATAATCAAACCGAATATGGTCATGTCGAAAACCAAATAAATTTTCACTTCAATCTTTAAATTCTCATACAGGACCTAAAAATCTGTTTAATTAAACAATGTAATATTTAAAATGGGAGAGAAAATAGCTTGTCTCAAAAATAATTGGACCACTTAAAGGTTACATAAATGGTCTGATCAGTTTTGTTTACTACACACGTTAATGATGATAATCTTAATTTATGATATGCATTCACATGGTACAACAATATGAATAATAAACAGATACTGACTATTTAGAACTGAATAATTTCATTGAAATGATTAAATCGAAAATCGATAGTCTGATTAATTAAGAAGTCAATACTAGTACTATTACTTACAGTTTAATGGATCCAGTGGGTTTAATTTACACTGACCAAAATCATAATTCATGTTGTATGCCTTATGAACTAATTCAATACCAGCTTGACGGAGTTCAGAAGTAATTTGTTTACCGGTCCATAAATACATTTCAGATCCAAAGTCAAAAACGAATGCCTATAGTTAATTGAAAGAACAGTTTTAACAAATAAATTGATCATTTGCGAAAAATTTAAAAGTAACATGACCAGAAGAAAAAACTATTAAGGGAATTCATAGTATTCTTCTATATAAGCCTATATACCATAACAATAATGTGTACGGCAGTACACTTTTTCATGTATTAGTATATCTTGAAATTAGGATAATTCTAGTAAGATCTGAAAGGTAGAAAATTAGAGTAAAAGCTTGTTGTTGACCGCTTTTAAGTAAAAGCTGATTCAGCTTGTATCAACGAGTAAAGAAAATAGCACTAAAAATAATGTTTTTACAATAAAACATAGAATCGGCTTACAGACTTGTTGAATTTCGAACACTTACTAATTTGTAATAAAAGATTAGTATCAGGAGGCATTTTGTGGATATTATAGTAATCTCAATAGTTGAGATCATAAGTCAATTGCAACTAGACCACCATAGAAAACCTGGAAGCACTGGACGGCCGTTTCGTCCTATTGTTAGACTCCTCAGCAGTGCGCATCCACGATACCACCTCGCAAGATCCGAACCTAAGACTCGCTTAACCATTAGACCACGGGGCCAGCATCCAACAATATTAGCATCCAACCTCAATTAATCCATGAAACTGAGCGACACCTACCAGTCCTGGTTTTGAATCTCGCGAGGCGGGATCGGGGTCGTACAATAGGACGGCCGTCCGCTACTTCCAAGTTTTTTCATGATGGTCTAGCTTCAATTAACTCATGATCTCAACCGATCAAATAAGAGATTAATAAATGGATAGTTTTAAATTTGAACTTACATACTAGTCGACTGATAAATTAGACTGAACTAACAATCTTTAATCAAAATTTCAATAGTATAAAATGGGTATTCTGTATTACATTGTTAATCACTCTGTTTAAATCTTAGTTAACCTTCAATTTGCTTTTTTTTAACTGTTAGGCATTTCGATAAGAGACTAGGAGTCAATACAATTTACTGAAATTAAAATACAGGAGACAGTATTATCTTAATACTTTTGAACATAGTACTAACAATTCACAATCATTAAAATATAAAATATAAAATTACATAGATAGAATATGCATTGAATTGGATGAATGTAAATAAAAATTTCGAAGAACAACACAGATCACGTGTAACACATGGTTAAGGTAATCGATTTTTATCTGAAATAGAACATTTGAATTGATTTATTTCTTACACATTTTATATGTGCAATACAACTTTTGTTAAAAGTGCAATTTTACAAAATGTTGATTTATATATATGTATATAACAAAACATTATAACCAGTGGTAAATGAAGGGTATCAGTGATAATCAACTTGTTTTGCCAGTGATATAAAAACATGTAGCTTATATATTATTTAATTGTAAATTGATGTTTTTCTTTGAAAGTGTTTTGCTGTTGAAATATTACAAAGTTTTAAGCTATACCATGTTATGAGGTATTATTTCATGTTGAGGGTATCTTTTTTTGATGGATTTCTGTTCTCTGAGCTGGATGGTTTGGTCGTGGAGCTTTCATCGTTCTTCTGAACGACATCATCAACGTTCAGAAGAACGATGAAAGCTCCACGACCAAACCATCCAGCTCAGAGAACAGAAATCCATCAAAATCATCCACCTGAACTACAAATCTTCTCCATCATCTGAAGGTATCTTTCTTTACCTATACGTGCGATACATGAAATGTATGACAAAAAAAACATCTATTGGTGTAGTAGGCTATTGAGTAAAAGACATATTTGTTCATTGAATAAATGTTATAAATAACATTGAAGTGAAAGAAACAAGTTTCAATGTTTTTTTAACACTCATCACTTGAAGGCACCAAACAATTAAGTCAGTAAGAACGAAATACATGAAATACACAATACCACTAGATCTAAATATCGAACTTTAAGAATCTGATAGATAAATCATTCACATAAATATTTAATATACTGGACGTAAATGAATGATCACTGATTAATTTTTCTTGATTATAAGCTTTGTTTAGAGTCAAGATTTTGTTGATATATAGTGAAATCGTATGCATAGTTAAGATTCACCTAAATATAACTTGAAATATTTGATCACTCTTAACAATAAACTGTCGTAAACGATGTAAACTAACAGATACATCATGAGTGTAGAATTTTTCTAGGAAAACTGTAAAGTGTTTAATTTGTTTATTACATTCTTATTTGCTTTTTATGATACTTTTGATAACACAATTCACGATCATTTTGTTAGAAAAGTGACCTTTCAGAGTAGTGTATAGACAATTGATATCTTTGTGAGGAAACTGTAAGCAATAACAACTGTAGCAGTTACACTTTTAAAACCCTTGAAGAGTTTATACACTGTATTACATTTGATTACAAGTTTATTGTTGGCAAAAACATCGTTGAATATTAATCGTTAAATCTATAGTATATTAATTAATTCATAAACAAACCTGATCTGATTGTAAGATATGATATTTCACTGGGTTACCCCAACACTCTTCACATGGTATTAAGCCATCTAAAGTAACACGATACACACGATTAGTGTGCTGAATCATTAGTTCATAGCGTTCGTCTTCTTCAGGTGGTCCAGCGTCTAATAGGATATAATTTTTGAAACAGAAAAGGTTACCTAATTGTAGCAACAACTTTTATCTTTTAATTTTCTGCAACACAAAGATAACTTAACTGACCGATTTAAGAAATATGAGGTAAGATCATATAATGGTCAGTCTAGCGCTTAATTACGGCTGAATAGAATCTATTAAATAAATTGTAAGACTGGGTTATATCGTTTTGAATATCACGATAAGCATCGATTCCCAAGAGGACTGTGGATATGTCTCGTTGACGAACTCCAGCTAGCATCAACTTTTACATCAAGACTTCCTGCCTGTTGTCCATGTTTAATCTTCCATTTATGTTTCAAAACTAAAAAAGATGCTTTTGGAATATTATGGTTATCAGTTGCTCATTCTCATATTAGAAAGTCATCTTCAAGAAAGTATATGATTAACATATCTACATACACATTTGGACAAAATCTCTTCATATGGTTTTGTGCTACATTAGGATGACATATAGACATTCAACATCAGTTATTTAGTTATTGAATAGCTCCCAAAGTAAACTATTGTTTATCGAGTGATATTTCTTTTATATATTTATATCATTAGTTGACATCCATTTGTAGAAGTTAATACTTAACGATGGTTTTAGTAATATCTATTCAAAAACTCAATTTATTTTCCATTTTATAAATTCTACATCACATTATGATGTTAAGTTGGACTAAATTCCATTATTAATAATGTATATAAAAGTCTTTATGAATCTGAACAGTTGTAGATGGATCCGATACAGATAATTAGTTCGTTTAGACAATTTACCATTTCATAATGAACGTAATTGAGACATTTTCTCTATCACCAGAGATCAATGAAGCTTATTTAAGACTTTTTTCTAGTTTTCCTCTTAGTTTAACTATCAATCATTAATATTCGGTCTGCTTGAATACATGGGTTACATTTTCCTGCCATCTAAGTATTTCAACAAGTTGTCTGTTTCCTTGTTTGCTTTAAAAGTTCATTATGTGAATTATTTGCATAAACTATTCAGGTGCGTTTGTGAAAAGTTTACGACTTTTCGTTATACAAGTTACAAAAATATACAATCGGAGACATCTTGATGGCTGACAATATGAGTTGAAAAGAATGAATTTTATTCAGATGGTGACTTCTGAAATGCTAATTTCTAGTTGGCGATCACTCAATAGTTATCGTCAGTATCGATCAAGAAATAAGAAACGGAAACTCACCGCAATACTTTGGGATGAGAATTTTATATTGTACCAAAGATATGGAGCTAATAACAGTTCATTTGAATCGGACTATTAAAATGTCAGAAAATCATCAATTAAAGGGACTAAAAATAATTTATTAGTCTCATAACTTACGATGAACCATTTGTGGTGAATTATAACCTAGAGCTTTCCAAAACTTTAAAGCTGAAGAATAGTGCTGATTAGAACTACCAGTTGTGTTATTTTGATTCTCATTATCCAAACAGCCAGCAGCATTGTAAGAATCAGTATTTTCATGTATTGCAATATAACCATCACCGAAATTTTGTGCTGCTTCACCTAAATTCCCAGTATATGACAATTCATGCTTTTTGTGAATCCATGATGCTAACTCTCGAGTTTTATTCACTTCAACAATATTGGCGGATTCACCAAACCAAGCGAATACTGAATCAGTTGTGATAAGAATAAAACAGTCACCGGAATTCATAGATTTGGCTGAAGGGGCAACTAAACGAACTTGAACATGACGTCGACCTTTAGTATATAAACAGTATAAGTGAGAAAGAGCAGTATAAAATCTCTTATTATTGTCTGATTATATGTACAAGCATTTTTATTATATGACATAGGTGAAATCTTTATGTTATAAAATACAAGTACAAAATTCAGTTTGCCAGACTGAAAATTTTGTGTATGATGCGAAACTCTGCTCGTACTGGAGACTAACAGTCAGAAGTCATATAGCTTTGACCTTACTTGTTAGGATTTATCGGCAAGGACGATATGTGGCTTCCAGAAACGTCATTTCTGTAAAGTGTCAAGATTCATTCCATTTAGATTATGACTCAAATATCTTAGTTTTAATTGCAACTAATTTAACATAAACCAGATGTATTCAAAAAAGAGTGGCCAAATAGTATTTATTGATTACATTTGGGTTCTCAGTTAATCAGCTTGCATACGATATTCTGTTTTGAAATTGATGTTTACTAAGAGGTGGTCACACGTTGGTATATATTTGAAGTAAAACTGACCGTATTCTTTTAATAGCGAATCGATTTTAGTTCTGAATGCTTTTGATGAAATTCAAAATCATCTGTTCTGATATTGACAAATGTCATGCATAGGTACTTCACGGATGCTATGATGTCAAAAATGTTCTAAAACTTCCTTGATTTCAGATCATGTAATTGTTTGATGAAAATAGACTAAACAATGAACGACAGAGCTTGCCGGAGACAATTACTACGTTCACATACTTTAAAGAAGTATTATAAATTAAGCAAATTTAAACGATTAGTAAATAAGTATCTACAAATCCAGTTAAATATTGAGAAGAAAGGAAATTATGATTGCTTAACTAATCTTAGAGAAAAGACCTGTCATTTTTATTAATAACAACATCTGAACAATGTATGGCAAAGAGTAATCTAAAAAAAATTTGTCTTCATTCTTGAAGATATTACAAATGTAGTAAATCTTTCATAAGTTTCCATCTTTCCAGTTTATAAATTATCTGTAACATTTAGAGACCATGCTACTGTCAAACTTCAGCTTAATTGCTAGATTCACATTATTAAAGTTTCAAATGATTAATAATAAAGTGTGAATATTTTGCTACAAACTACTAATTTTTCCGTTTAACCATTCCTATAGCACTTTGACTGAGTTACAGCAGGTATCGATAATGTACACTGACCTTTGATATGCAACAACATGATTGGTTTGTAAGGTAAAAGTTGTCTTTGGGTTGAAGAGTTACGAAGAGATTGTCCTTCTTGGACTGAACGTAGATTACCTTTGGCCTCATTTATGTCCTCAGAGCATGCGAGACCAGCTTTAGCTGAATCGGCTAGAATTGAGTTTTTTGCAGCAAAATCTGAAAGTCAGTAAAATAGGGACAAAGTTGTTAAAAGATAAATGATTTTCTAATAAGTAAATACCACTTGTTTACAGTTGAATCGTGTTTAGTAAAATAAAAGTCTACACACAGTTGATTGACTAATTAATAAGATTAATTCAAGAATAAGGAATACACGTTTTATGTTTTACTAGTAAGATACGTGTTGATCGTCCATCGTTAATAAGTAGTTCTTAATGCAAGAAAAGGCTCACAACAGAATTTGATATCACTTTATCAATGATTAATTATCTTTCAGTATTTCCATGACTTGTTAAAAAGTATTAAAAATCCTTAGATTTCTGTGTTATAAGTAGTTAGTTAGGACATGTAAACTAGTTAGAATAATCATCACACATTTCGACTTCAACATTTCTGATGGTCCTATCAGCTTATTGAAGGGTTTTAATATTTACTGTAACAGTATATATACTAAGTATCATGTTAAACGATTCATACGGCTTAAACCACTTGAACTTCTGGGAAATTAAGGTTGTACTAAAATAGTTTTGAAGTGGCCCGAACAGGTTTGAATATCTTTTAGCAAAAGCCCCAGAAATTCGTCACGTTTAATGCACTAGTTGTATTTTTAATGAAACTCAGAAGAAAGAACCAGTTAATCATGTATTAAGTCCGCCAATAATTAATCCGAATTATATGATTTTAGTACAACACAGTATTTGACTACTATATCGAAATGCAAACTAACTTTTTAATTATGAAAATAGGTTAACGATTGCATCGGATTCATATTCACTTCCTAGTTATAACACTATTCATGACTACACAAAAGTTGATAACAAAATCATTCATAGATAAAAGTACGTACAGATATTAAGTGTACATATGTTTCATAAGTATCAGTTTCTACATTGTCTAGTCTTCCGATTTTCACCATTTTGAATTATGTGTGTAGTAATAACTACTACTAATCTGATGGCCTCTTCAAGGTATTGACTAACTTAATTTGAAATATGGACAGCAGACAACTTCTCGGAGTTCTAGTGAGAAGCCGTGACCAGTGTAGCTAATCCGTGTCGGGTAGAGATAGGTATCCACCTCTTTATAATGGAAGATGGCCGCGCAACCTCATGGACTGGTTGAGGTTAGACATTAGAACCACTGGATGCTGGCTCAGTAGTACAGTAGGTTGAGCGTTCGTGTGGTAGACTGAAGGCCCTTGGTTCGAATCCCATGAGCGGAATCGTGGATGTGCGCTGCTGAGGAGTCCCACAATAGGACGAAACGGTCGTTCAGTGCTTCCAGGTTTTCACTGGTGGTCTAACATCAATCGGTTCATGATCTCAATCAAAAGCCTAATAATCTCCACAACCTGTATACTCGTAGATAACTTTTGGTTATATCAATAAATAAACATTATTTCATTCACATGTATGCATAATGTGATAAGAATTAGGTAAAAACACTTGTTGTTTTTATAACATTTCTCCTGTTATACTTTGCTTAAGTAGATTGGTTCAGTTATTAAATTACATCAAGTTATTGATTGTATCTGTTGCCTATAGTGAGCCTAATGTCAGGTTTTAGTGACTCCAATAAGAGTATATTTGTGTGTTCTATGCATTTTTATCTAACTGACATTTGATTACATCGAAATATGCAGGCTAACTGTATTAATTTCTTGGTCGATAATGCAAATTGTTCAATATGTTCAACAAACAATAAACAGTATAAAAACTAGATCATATTCCTTATTGAAGCAAAAACAGAAGACAAATGAGCATATTTCATCTTTTTTTGACATATCATAAAAAAAATCGGATTACTTTAGTAAAAGATACTTTGTTTATGAGACACATTATCTAAACATCAACATTATAGTGAAATAATACAGTAAGTTAAGCTGAATTGTTCATTTTTCTTTTGTTAAACACTTGTTTCTTCAATTTTATTTATTTAATATAAACAAAACTAAAGTGGATTCTTGTAGAAACGTATGAGAACTTTTCATTTTCTAAGTTATTTATCTAGTTAAAACGAGTTCTATTTCTTTCTGGAAGTGATTGTTTATCTTTGGTTTTTAAATTGCCATTCCTATAACCTTGAAGTTATCATAAACGTTTATTAACTATTGACATGCATACGCCCAGGACAAGGCGGGTTTGAGAATGCTGGTCGGCGGCCTATGCTCCAGTTGGAGTAACAGGCGTAAGTAGTAAGTAAGATATGCATATGTTTTCCGTGTTTTTTCCCTCAAATTAATTTAACCGAAAACAACGTAGAAGTAACTTAGTCACAAGTCAGTCAAATGAAATTAGGACTGGATAAACACATGAGAGACAGTTCAATTTGACACAACAAATTAACCCAGTGATATAAAGTTATCATCACAAAGCTCAAAATAGTAGAAGTAGTAATATGGTGTAGCGTGTGCTATTGATGTCGACAGATATATAAAGTATGTATCATCAATAGGAAGTGAAATATATGACGGTAACAGGTCAAGAAGATCGAAGAAAATATAAAGGGAACCGAGAATGATCGGTGTGGAAACAATGAAGTCTAAGACAATTGATAGACATTTTTCAAATGAAGTATTTACTGTATAGTTCTCAGATTTTACTAAGAGATTCTGTAATTTAGTGTCCGAACACATTTGGTTGTGCCCACCCATGTGCTTGTTCACGACAGTAATAGTGTCAGCATTAGTAGAAAGATTAATTTTTGTAAGAAGAAAAACATGTTTATAGGAGGTGTACGAGAAAGTTAACACACTGCATATCAATTCGTATTTCAGATTGGAAACACAAAGTAAAGTGTGCCTTCTTTGATTTCTGGTAGCTGGATCTAGAGAAACGGTCTTTATTAACATCTAAAAATGGCTTAGCAAACTAATAGTGTATAGACCAGAACAATTCATATATGTCCTGAATTTGGAAAAGAAAGTAAACTTAAACGTATTATAAGTTTTAGTACTGGAATATGTTACAATTATTTAGTAATTACGTTCCATTGAATAAGCATATTTAACTAAAATATCAATAAATAATATGGTTATTATTTTGCAAAAAGTAATTTACCTAGGTCAGTTCTAACAGATGGATCCACTGTACGTAATAATGTTTTGAACGGTGTAATATGTTTACCAGATTCTTGATCTGTTGAAATAGCTTCCAAAGGTGTACGAATTTCTTCATAGTTCGATTTTATGTTTTCTCTCTGTTCTAAAGCTTTTAAAGGATTTTTTAAGTCCCGTGGAGGTTTACGTTTTTCTGGTCTAGCAGCACGTCGTGCATCAGCTATCCTTTAAAAATATAATTGAATATAAATTTAAAACTTCATTGTATGTTTCATTTGTAAATATGGAACATATTTTTCTTAAATATTTGGATATTCCATATTATAGATTTATGATTAAGCTTTATCGTTTTCATCTATTTCTGCATTATAATGAAATGTGACTGGCGAAAATCTGACATATAGTCAAGGCTAATAGATTAATAATGTAAGCGTAACTCTCTCTTCATTAGTAGTTAATGGTCAAAATTTTCCAATCAATCAAAGGTTCAATATACGTTATTAACTGTAATGATGATAATAATAAGTTGTTAAGAATAAGTGTTATAATAAAATATTATTCATATTTTTGTTAAATATTACAATCTCTTACCTTTCATACACGTTGTTCAAATCCTTATTTGGTTGCGAAGGCAAAGTCGGAAGCTTAACTGGTCCAACTGCACTAGTTGTTTCTATAGTCGTTTTACTGGTGAAGAAATCTGTTAATTCTTTATCTTCCATAGTAGGTACGCTAACATTTTTGGAAATATGAAATGCCTTAAAAAGTAAAATGACATCATGCTTAAAATATGGTATGGTCATGAAGTAAAACATAAGTACATAAATTCCAGGTTGCTTTATTTGTGTTTAACTTCTCTGTATCATGATTTAAACTGTTCACCTTGATCAAACAGTTTTAAGTTTTGTTCTTATAGTTTCGAGGAAAATTTTCAACAAATGAACAATATTTCGTACTAGATAAATAATATATTTTTAATATCCCGATGAGTAGAAAAATTAGATTTTCTGACGTTTCGTGACTTAGTGTAAGCTACTTCTTCAGAGAATAAATAACTAAATCGAAATTAATCCAAGTTTAAATAGTGATAAATGTGATCAATCAAAAAACAGGTCTGAATAAATCAATGTCATGTCATTTCGGTCAAGGTGATTCATAAGCGAGATGTATGCAAATTCGTGTATATGTAAGTGTGCTCTGTTAAGGATGAAAAATATGTGACCTTTATGGTGAGAAAGGATCGAGTTTAATTTGTTCCGTATTGTTAAGGTTTATATTATAGGCCAACATCAACAAGTGTACTTGATAATTGAAAGCGAAAATTACTTTCTAAATAAAGTCAGTTGACTAGCTAATTATTGACGTTATTCAGCAGTAAAAATATGTAACCATCAAAGTGATAAATGGGATAAGAAGAGAAAATCTCACCTGTCTAACAAGTGGGCTTGGCTTCGTTATGGTAGTAGGTTTATTGATGGGATCGGCTGTCGTAAATGATTCTTGATGTTTGACTTCTTCAAAAAGATAAAATTAACATTCCACGTAAATTCAGATACAGGAATAAAATTTACTAGCAATAAGTTTTCCAACATAAAGTTTGTTGAAGAGAAATTATGAAATACAGGTTATAAATATTTCACTGTATGAAGTAGGGCTATTATTAGATCTCATCCGATGTTCAGTATACACTTACAGAACATTCAAGACAATATAAATGAATATAATGGGGTCAAATCTATAATACGGACCAGGAAACTAACAATAGGCAGTTCTACTAATGTGCAATCTGGTGTCTTCCTACATGTTAGGTGATTAGATCCAACTTGCAAGAAGCCCTCGACCTAGATCTTACAATGACTGATACTTATTACTAGGTATATTTGGGATCTGAACAGAATGAATGCTATCCAGCGAGTTCAAACCTGTAGCAAGGCCAAAGATATTATCACTGAGCTATTCAAGGAGTTTTCCATATACTTCAGAAAAATCCTGGTTGCTGTACTAAATTAGTGGAGAATCCTATCAGGCAATACAAAAATTTATGTTTGATTAAGTGACAGATGTTAAGTATGTATAGTACAACGTTTGTATATTCATATCAAACATCATCAGTTCCAAACATTATTTTATATAGTCTCTTAAATTATAACGGGAAAGAATTAGTTTAAGCCTATAATTTCCACATTTAATGTGATTTCATAAAAGGGACAATTTAATTTGTAATAATGTACCATTTCGTCAATTATTGCACGTATTCAGTAATTTGGTCATCGAAAATTTCGGAAATATTTTTATGATTGAGTAAAATCTCCATAGAATAATTGATTACAGAATATAATCAGTAAAGTTTCATATTCACAAATCGCTAATACATCCACTTAATTGTCAGGGTTCCTCTTAAACTTTTCTAACAGATTAAAAGTTAATGGAATAAATAAATAGAAATTGTCACATTCTTACTCCCCCTCATCATCATCATCATCATTGTAAGATAAATTTAAAGTGAAATTTCAATTATTTCTCAGATGCATTTAATTAGTTCAGATAAGCAATATAGCCAGTGTCTCATCAGTGGCTAGTTTCAAATTGTAACTGAAGTAACATAACATTAGGTAATACGAATATTCGTCAGTATTCTAACGAATAGTTTGATTAAAATTGAGCACTGAGTATAGAAAAGTCATTTTATGTGAAAATTGTATTTGAAATAATCTCAGTTATTGTAATTTAAAATAATTCCGACGTTTCGTCTAGTAAACTTGTCCAGACTTCTTCAGAGTAATAATCATAATTGTTAGACGATATATATTTCTGTTTGATGACTTTGATTTTAAATATTACCCTGAAGAAGTTCAGACAAGTTTTCTGGATGAAACGTTGAAATTATTGCTGAGATTATTTCAAATATAATTTTCACATATAATGATAATATTAGTTAATTAATTAGCATAATCTATTATTGGTCTCCAGAATTAAACATGGCCAGTTTTCTTATAAAAGAATTATTTCATAATATCACTTCTATGATCAGTTCCTGATGAAATTCTTCGACAGTTACGGCCGATTCAAAACCCAGGTAAAAGAAGAGGGTTGGGCATGGAGTTAAAAAAAACTGTAAATAAGGAAAGTTATTTTAGACGGTTCTATGGCCAGTCGACTTATTAGTAATAACAAACTGATAATTTTAAAATTTAAAATGGCTTAAAAAACTATCAGTCTAAAAATACCGAGTTATTATAACTTGCTTCTTTCAAATTTTACCAAGAATTATAATTTTACAGTAAATAGCAAGTCATATAGTTGTAATTAATTTTATCTCCTTAAAAGTAATACTACTTACTATTTAATTAACAAACATTTTACATTGAGAATGGGTTTGTCTGATTAATGTTTAAGTTTTATTAAGTTCTGAAAGATTTACGCCTTTCTTCATCTTGAAGTTGACATGTGAAGCGACCAATAAATTAATCCTGTTATATCTTTTGCATTTGAAAAGATTATCACGAAAATGTATCTATCTAGTGAGCATTGTTAGTTTTGAATTTGTGCTGAATTGCCATTTTCACTGACTACATCAAATGATTGAGATCATGAACCGATTGATGTTAGACCACCTTTGGAAACCCCGCTCGCGCGAGACCGAAGGCCCTGGGTTCGAATCCTGCGAGCAGGATCGTGGATGCTTACTGCTGGGGAGTCTCACAATAGGACGAAATGGCTATCTAGTGCTTCCAGGTTTCCAAAGGTGGTCTAGCTTCAATTGACTCATGATTTCAACTACTGAAACATATATTTAACAACTCTCCTTTTTATTAAGAACATAAATCATAGTAAAATACATTGAATCCGCTCAATTTTTGTGTACACTGAACTAGCCATAAATGTTCATAAATTTTATGGATAAGTTGTGCTCATTACTGGCTGATTTCAAAAATAAGTTACGAAATTCTAGACAGAAGTCGTATTTGACTGTGTTCAACCACGACTGGAATAAGACAGACATCACCAATAAAAATTGACAACGGTTGAGTGATATATCTAAATTATAGCTTAAATTGAAAAGGTAAACTATTAAATTATGCATTAGTAATTTGTTAATACTAATAATAAGACTTAAATCACTTATTCGATTCTTTAAAGAGACATAGGTGTGAAAAATAGCAAAATTAGAACAGTATCCTTTCAATTTTTTAATGGCTCACTAGCTGATACCAGTTTGTGTACACTTGTACGTCATCTGATCTAAATGATTATGAACCCTTTTCACAACCAAACAAGTTCGATTTATCAAAATATATTTTTGTTGGAAACGATTATGACGTCATAAGACACAAATTTGTGTTACCATGTTATTTGAAAATATGGAAATTTGTAATAATTAGAAGAAAATACAGACGTGAAGTAATCATAATGGTTATAATAAATATTGTTAACAGCTTTCATGTATGTGTTTTATGGCTGATGGCATCACGAATTCATTAACTTATTCTAGTTCTATTTATATAACATTCTTATACTTGTAGAAAGTGTTTATTTAGCTTCATCAATAAACCGAATTCATTTATACACTTTCCTCCCATAAACTACTTTTACTAAACATCTAATTTATAAAGTTATTAGAAGACGCCAAATGGAGTGATCCTATGATAATTATTTACTTTTGAAACATTTGATTCTAGGAACTAACCCTATGAAAATTACAGACCGGATTCATGAATTTCAATTTCAGTTAACTGCTTCAAAACGTCTGTTTTTTTAATTATTTATAGAATTTCATCTTGTAATTGAGTTTAATATTCTAATATGTAACACTATTGAATAGTTCACCTAACAAGTAACTAATGAAAGTATATGTTGTCGGAACTAAAAGAATAAGATTAAGTTAAAAAGTTTACTATTCCATACAATTGTACTGAATTTAACCGTCGCCTCTGGGAAAATTCAAGCTTTGTATTTAAAAGATAAAGTTTTCTTATATCTATATCAGTACAAATCAATAACGTTTGTCATTACAATGTAATTAATTAATTGAAATGTTCCAGTAGGACCGATTCATAACGAATAAAGGTATCTTGTTCTTTGAATACATATCAGATAATTGAAGAATTTCTCATTTATAACTAGCTGATGTTACTCAGAGAGTAAATAACAGTTAAATCCTTTTTATAATTAGTAATATCTTACATTATTTACTAAAACTGGTGAAATTCAAAATTCTAGCATGAGTGTCAAAATCAAAACTCAGTACTTCATGCTAACAAACACAAACATCTGGTTCATCTTTCCTTCCTTCTTATTAAACTGTAAGTTAAACGGATTATAAACATAATTGTTCAAAGTCTCAGGTTTCACCAACATCAACAATATCAAGTTGTTATTACAATAAGTCACGTTCTATTTCTAACTGACAGCTTTATTGCATTAATTAATTCGTAAATTATTTTATTATTTCATTAGTAAATAAAAAAATTATCATTTACCTGAACGATTTTCTTTGCTAGTATTGCGTATTATTGGTTCAACTGGTAAACATTTCGATGTGTTTGTTGTTAGATCTTGTAAATGAAAACATTTCGATGGAAGAGGTTCTAGACTAGTATAGTCATTTGCTACAAGGACAGAAGAATAAAATCTGAGATTATAGTTAAACGTTTTAGTAATTGCAATATTGATCTATAAAGAAGAAGATGAAAAGTGAATGGATATAAACTGTTTAAACTTAGCTCCCCAATTAGTTTATATTCATTCATTCATGTAAAACATTGGGTAAACTATCTAAAAATTACTTTTGATCCAAATTTTCAGTATATTTGGATTGTGAGCCACAAAGGAATCCAAATTATATTTTTCGTCTTATCGCAGACTTCTCAATTTAATGTAAATGCTTCCTAGTGTTGATCATCACAACGACACTCAAACCCAGTATCTGTCACATCAGATACCAATGCACTAGTAGCAACATATATTAGGAGCGAGTCTTAGTAGGTACAACCAGCTGATAAGTCATGGATTTCACTGCTGGTCATAATCCGGATCTACTGAAACTACAAGTTAATTTAAATATATAATCAACAGTATGAACAGCCTTTTTTATAAATAATTATATTCTCTACATCTTCTGATTAACATTTAAGTTATCGATCCGAAATTCTAAAATTGATTGATCATAATCAGAATGGGTTTTTTTGTGTAGATTGTAATAATTTCATTAGTTAAATTCATGAGTCGATTTAAGGTAGATCACCATTGAAAATCTGGAAGCATTGGATGGCATTTCATAGTTTAGCACTCACTTTTAAACTGCTAATAATTTTTTTTGTTAAAAGTACCCCAACAAATAGAGGGAATAGATATCACAAAATTGAATATTTATATCATTCTAACAACAGATACATTTCCTTATATTAAAACATACGTTTGTGTATCTAACATGTTTAGTAAAGATATAACGGGAAATCTTAATTAATTATGAATTAATTTTGCATTCTGTAAGAACGGTCCACAGGTGGACTCGACGAAGCTCAAAAAAGCTCCGAAAGAGCCGGAAACACTCCATTCGATCATACCTTGAAAAAATACTTCAGAATCTCTACGTATATCTTCCCTAGTGGACAAATGCTAAAGATACCTGTATGCGGATTGGATGAGCATAATGATGATTTCGTTTTTACTACAAATACGAATAATACCTGATAGGTTTGTACCATATTTAACACTGTTTGGAATAACATTCTTTCCATTTATCTTCAGTCTTCTCATTCGAGACTTGGAGGGTTCTAGTGTTCGAGTGCTCAAGTTGTACGCGTTATATCAAGAGTCTAACCTCTAGATGTAATACACTGAATCATAAATAAATGGTCTCTAACCACCATCGTTACAAATCAGGCAGAAAAAACCTGTAATTTTTGGATATAAATTATTATGGTCATAAATATCATACAATTTAATTATTTTTTGACAGCATTAATAATTCATGAATATCTAAAAAACTACAAGGCCTCGATTAAAATATCTTACATTTCAGTAGTTTTCACACAATCAAATATGGTATCAACTGACTTTTGTATGGAAGTAATCAAATAAAGGTTATGAATTCCATTCATATAATACATAGCTAAAGAGCAACCCAAGATCTTAGAAAAGTTTTTAAAGTATTTTATAATACTGTGTTAGACTGTATCCCAAAAACACTAATGTAACCATAATTATTTAATTGTGAATAAATTCAGACACTTTTAGATTGAGATTGATGTTAGACCACCACTGAAAACCTGGAAGCGCTGGAATTCTCGGAGTTCTAGTGAGAAGCCGTGGCCAGTGTAGCTAATCCGTGTCGGGTAGAGACAGGTATCCACCTCCTTATAATGGAAGATGGTCGCGCAACCTCATGGACTGGTTGAGGTTAGACACTAAAACCACTAGATGCTGGCTCAGTAGTACAGTAGGTTGAGCGTTCGTGTGGTAGACTGAAGGCCCATGGTTCGAATCCCATGAGCGGGATCGTGGATGCACACTGCTAAGGTGTCCCACAGTAGGATGAAACGGCCGTTCAGTGCTTCCAGGTTTTCACTGGCGGTCTAACATCAATCGGTTCATGATCTCAATCAAAAGCCTAATAATCTCCACAACCCCTATTCAAACACTTATTTGTTAAATCCATAACGTTTATATTAAAATTGATGACAGTCGTTTTAATTTAATTCTCATATAAGCTAAAAATATCATTGAAAAGTTAACTAACTCAAGAATGTAAAGTTTTAGAATAGTTCAATTATTGTTCTTTGAAAAAGTGCACTGAACACTTTGTTTCAACTTTAGTCAACTCAACTACTTAACTTTAAATAGATTTTTTCTAAAAGTAGTATGTCATAAATTATTAGAAAGACTTCAACTTGATATCTTTCAAATAATTTGTTTCTAATTGACTGTTATCATTTTAATTTTAACATAAGTATTTGAATATGTTACATTGTTATGTGAACCGGGTTGAGCGTTAATAAAATAGATTAGAAGTCAATTATTTATGAATGGAATAATAAGCAAAGCTAAGAATGTCCTATAGTTAGTCACTTGCTTAAATCTAGTTGATTTAGTCACTATGATATATGTGCGTATTTCACTCCTAAATTTGAATATTCAACGTATTAATTGCGTATTTTACTAAGAAGTAATGAATCAATAATAACATACTATTTATGTGCTTATAAAAGCAGTGATTCAGTATGCATGCAAATATGTAAACTAACGTTCTAATCTCTCAACAAAATTTAAAAATTAATCATATCAGTAGTAATTTTAATAACAATATCAAAATCAGAATCTTCTATACGAACGTCAAGATAGTTTTACTGTACGGAGCTGAAACTTGGAGAACTACCACAACCATCAACAAAAAGGTACAAGTATTTATAGACAATTGTCTACGTAGGATACTGAATGTTCGTTGGCCTGATACCATCCGCAAAAGTCTACTATGTGAGAGAACAAACTAGCTCCCAGATGAAGAGGAAACAACTGAAAGGATTGTTTAGGTCAGAGTTTGATGAAGAGTGTTGATGGGCGACATATGCTCCTCCGTGAGGGGTAATAGGTTCAAGTAAGTAAGTAAGTAATTTTAATATGAATAAAGCACAATGCAAATCAAAAATATTGGAAATGAATTCGCTGGAAAGAGAACTCTTTGCTGAAACAATCTTTCTTATTTAATGTATCAGTGGGTGTATTCCGTTTACTAAGGAATATTCCTTACAAAACAGTTTGTAAACTTTTATCAATCAAATGCCAAGGCAACTTATTTATGAATGAGTCAATTAACGCAACTAATGTAGTTATGACCTAAGGATAAAAATCATATATGTTTATTATATGGTCATTAATTTCTCTTTAGATCACATGTAGGACACACCCATTTGACTCAAATCACTTCAACAACACATTATACATTATTCATCATGAAAATGATATTAGAAAATTTGGAAAATAAATAAGTTGGAAGTATCTTGCTGACCTTATGTTTATTTAAATACAAATACGTTCATAAAGCACATTGGTCATATTAGTAGATACTTTTATTTGAAATTCAAAATAATTTCTTTACAGTTGATTGATCACTAGATAGTGACCAATCTGATGAACATCATGTCGTTCTTAGTGTTGATCGAATTCTATCGATCAAGTTGTGATATGGCCGTTAGTCTCAGTGACCCGACATCGCGTTCACCATCTAGAGATGCAAAGTGCTGGTTAGAGGTAGTTAACAGGAAACGCTGGACCTGAGTTTTGTTCTATTTGGCAGTTGTCTGCAAGATATACCTGTAATCTTGAGAAAACTGATGCTCTTTGATGGATTTAACCCTTGTCACACATCTTCACAGTCAGAGATGTTACCACTGATTTCAAGCCACCTAGACCAGTAGCTCCACTCTGACCTAATAGATAGATTTTGATCAGCGCAAAGAATTTGGCATACATGACATTGGTCAATGATCAATGATCGGTCAATTGCATCTCAGTTTTAAATGTCAGTCGTCTCCCAAATACCTCAGTAGTGCCGTTTCTGACTGTGAAGCTTCATAACCGAATTTCCTAATAGTTTGAATCCCTGAACAGCAACGGGTATCTACAATTTTCAGGGGATCAATATTTAGTATTGGATTCTTACTATCATCAGCTGGTGTCATAATCAAAGGATTTGTTAACAAACTATTCATGTTTTGTATAACCTGGTATAGGACTAAAATGGAATTCAGTCAGTACTAAGCGCCATTCAACATAACAATAGTTACTAATTCAAATACATAATTAATTGACTAAACTTAAATATATGGTTCTATTTGTCGTATCATTTTTATGTATTGTGTTATTCTATTGAAATTTATTCTTTTTAAGAGTAAAATTTGAATACAGAATAAAATAGATCACATTGTATTACACACACTAACTTTTTTTATTTCGTTCAAATATTGGAAAATCATAATCATTTTTATAATCAACACGTTGTTTCCAAGATTCTTGTTTCTCAACTAATGATAATCGAATTTTATTGATATCACATGATCTATCTACATTTGGTTCTTCTTTTTCAACGCGCTCTCTCCAATTTAAAGTATTCTGTCGAATACAAGCAATCCTGTTTAAGTGGTTAAAAGGATAGGAAAGAAAGATTTTTTGAAAATGTATCGTCAGTATTACGGTGGAAATATAATAATAGTTTTTTTTACACAAAATCATAATGTATTAGGTAAATTTAGTAAACTATATTATTATGTTTACTGATATCATAAGAAGAAACTATCTTTCTTTGTAGGTCATTGTCAAAAGCTAATATTGTTATTCTCTACATTTATACAATTGATTGGTTAACCGATATTTATATTCATATTAAATATTTGTCTAGTTCAAAATAACTATGAAACAGAGAATCACGCTTATTTACTAACTAAATCAGTTTCCATTATTGTACAGATAGTTTATAGATGGTATGAAGAAAGATAATTGTATAAAATAGTTTTGATGATTACTTGTAGATAATGTTCCATTACAAAGTTCGTGAAATTCATAGGGGCTTAATTCAATTTCAGGTGTCCAAAGTATTTAGACTGTATTGAAAGTAAGAAACTACTTTTCACATGGCGCTTGATAACCGAATAAATTAGTTTGTTAGTGTTTGGGTTCCATAAAGTCTTGACACTTATAACTGTTTCATTTGGTTGTTAGACTTCTAAGAACCTGTACAAATGAGTTGTAAATTGATCCAACATTTAAAAAAAAAGATAAAATTGTGACGATAATCGAAAATGACAATTATACATATAATACCCTTGGAAATCTCTCGACATAATTCATTGTTAACTGATCTACAGTTTTAAATGTAGTCAACATTTTGATTTGCAATACTATAGATTGATAAACCTAAATGAAAAACAAAAAGTGTCAGATGCTTACTAGTTTCCACTAATTCTTCATCTGATATCAGTACATGGTAGAAAATTAGCTACACATTAAACAATGTTTTCAAACGCTTAGTTTATTCAGGAAAAATCTATTAGAAACTGAATATATCAAAACTGACTAGAATGGACTATATTTACATACTTTGAATTCAGTAAACAAATTGCATGTAATCAGACGATAGTTAACCTGTATATACACGTCTTAAGGACAATAAAACAGCAACAACAACAACAATTTAAGTATCTATAGTTGAACAAATATGTCATTGTCAATATTGTATAACAACATAGAAGTATTGTAAAAGATTATCATTACCTTTCTCTAATTGACATTTGTGGATAACTCTCTTCACTGTTATTTTCTTTTTGAATAATAATATTATTATTTAATATGGTATTTTCGACTTGTTTATTATTTTGATGTAAATTAAATGAATAATTGATTGTTCTAGGTAGTTTCCCGGAAAATGATTTATTTTGAATTTTTATTTGATTACCCTCTGGTAAACCACTTTGTTCTAATGAATTTATGGGCCTAAATTCAAATTAATTAAAGAAAATATTTTGTTGGTGAATAAAATTTAAAATGAAATATGTTCAATGTTGATTCTACAAAGAAGATACCTGATTGGTTTGTAGTTAATCTATAACTTTAAATGTGATTAGTTATCATCAAATGACCTTCATATTAACCAATCATTTGTATGTATATGTATTGTGTAGACTGTTATAAGCAAATTTATGATAATGATATTTCAAAGCACAATTGTAATATAATGTCCAATAAAGGCTACTGAATATTACGATACAATTTGTATCTAACCAGACAATAATCATAGTGGCAAAATGCTTGTTGATACTTGTCATATGATGTGGCTTTTATAGTTGAATATGTCATGATAGGTATGCAGAGAAGTTACAAACAAAGAATATACATTACATCTAATTATAGTGAGTAGTTTAACTTAATTCATAAACTCTCATAAAAGTTATACATATTGTGCAGTTTAGTTAATTTATGAGATGAACAAAAGCTATTTAAATGCACTGAAATTTAGTATGACATTCAGTCATTGTTAGACATAGTGTTTTCGAACTTCAAAACTGTGAATGAAAGATTATCTACTAATTGACGATTTTTTAGTTTGTTTTGAAGTACCATTATCATATCTGATCTTTTTCTTTAAATGAATATATATTGTGAATTATATTTAAGAGCAGTTTTTGACGTCTATCCAGTCACATACACCTGAATTTGTAACATGAAAATATCTTCAAACAGAAATGTTTCACTACCCATATAATAAATAATACGAATGATTAACGTTACTCACTATTTTTTGATAGCTGAATGTCATTGGTAACAGAGACACTAGTCACATCACTAACCAAGAGTTTTTTGATGGATAGTTTCTAACAGTGGGATTGAGTACACGCGTTTCATACTGTTTGAGACTCATTAAGTTAATATATCTGAATCCCAGCATTAATGTTCATAACGAAATTCGCATCGACTAACTCTTAATTCAAACGCTTAACGGAGTATCGACTGATCCACTGATTCCATACATTCTCTAGATTGTACATCCGGAATCAGAGTCGTAAACAGGTTGCACATCCTAGACTGCACGAACAGCTACTATTCAAGTCTAGAAAAACTTGCAATTAAAGACGATTTTTAGGACAACTTTTTTTAATGATGCTCGAATACCGAAAAGGACTGATCAGTAGCAGCTCGTGATACCGACAACAGGATAACACAAACACGTATAAACAGCTAGTTAATGAATCGGGAAATATGAACTCAGAGAAAAACAAAAAGATACATTTTTTATTCAACTTTAATAGAGGAGACAGGTGATATGAAAATATGGGAATCTTGTAAAGAATATTGAACACTAACTCTTTTCTAAAGAAATCTCATGTAGTCTACGTTTTGGTGGACTAACCTTGTGTGAATTCAAACACTAATTGGAAATATCCCGAAGTGTCATACTGAAGAGGGTTTTTATGAGACAATATCAATTCAATAATCATAAACTTACACCCTTACACTATTTCTGAAATTACAATCTTATCCTGTTAATGTTCCTATACAAAGCATGTGGCTGACTTACGATTGGTTCATAATTGTTCGCTCACTGGTGAATTCACTAAAGTTTGAATGTAGTAAAACTTCAAAACCATCTTGTATGAAATAAAATATTATAAGATTAATAAATAACAATTTACACTCACTCATACTTGACAGTCATACGTAGTGACGAAGCTAACATTGAATTTCTAAGAGAGATGTATACTGCCAGGTTGTTTCGAACTTTGTGGTTAAAAGGGTTTTGGAAATGTTGTCATATACACATGATACATATTTAAGTGATTCAAACCCAGATTTCAAAATTAGAAATGTGTTTGCTAATGTTCTACCTTATATGAATAAGAAATGATGATCATATGACGATCAATATGACCAAATTTTCAACGGTTATTTAAATTTTAGTAGTAGTAGTAGTACTTAGTCGTGCAATTCCAGAATTTTGTGGTTTGTCATACGCAGTGTGTCTTAAAACGTTATACCTCTTTTTTTATGTGTTTTCGCTGAATAAGAAGTGATCCAGTTTTGATGTGTAGGATACTAAGAAATGAATTTGAATTTGATATATCCTCTCTCATGCTTCCAGGTAAATCAGGAAAACGTTGAGAATCTGACAAGTTCAGCTTGGTACACAGGAAGAGATTTTTTTACTTTTATTTTTAACTGACTTATTCAGTATGAGAATCGACGTTCCTAGCAGCTCACTAAAAAAAGACTAACACAAACTATCAGCCTTTTTTCCTCAGTAAATCATAGATATTTTTATTAACCAATGAAATTCGCTAGATGAGATGACATTTCTTACATTCGATTAATCAAATAATATTCTTGACACATAAAACCGAGGCAATGAAATTTCGTTATTAATATTATTATTATTCAATGATTTCTATTTTATTTACCTGCTGTTATTACCAGTATTATTATTAGTTATGATATGTCGCTTATTTCGTTCTTCTGAATTTCTATACAATAAATTTACAAGATGATTTATTTTGGATGATTTCCTTGCTGATATTTCTCTGTTCAATTCTGGTGTAAATGGTCCATAATTATCACTAGTATGGTTATGTTTACAACTATTACTACGATAGATATTCTTTGAATATTCATTTTTATCATAGTTATAAATGTTTTTGTCCGATGAATAAAGTTCATATTTATCATGATGTGGATCTAAACGGAATGATTTAGACGGATTTTTGAATCTGTTATTATGTGCTTCTTGTCTTTGATTTCTAGGGAACTCATTATTTGTCTTGATCATTGATTCCATATAATTTTCGCATCTACCATATTTATTGCTATAACAATTATTTCGATTAATGAAAGACCTGTTATATAAATCATTATAAGCATCTTTGGACTCATCTGTAGTCATGCTGAAATTAGTATAAAAATATTTCGATCTATTCAAACAAATTACAGAGGATGGATTGGGTTTGTTATGTCTATTCTCCATTTTTTTGTAAATATTTATCCAGAAAAGTCAATAATTTGTATTACCTTCTGGAGCCGTAAACACAAAGATAATCCTTCACATGCACATGCAATAGAAAAAAGTTTCGAAGATTTTAACAATTATTTTCAAGTTTACTCAATCAATTAATGATGAATTTTCGTTATATTAACCTGAAGAAAATTTCAATTATGATATATTGGCATAATGATAATAGTAACTTACTGATTAAACTGGCTTCCGGAGTTGATAATTGTGAATCATACTCATGGAAGCCAAATGAATCTTGTTCATCTCCTTTTACACTACCGAAAGGTGATTCTAAAATTAAAAAAGTTTAATTATTAAAAACGTTTACCTTAGCTAACAGTTTAGAAATAAATATGTCATGTAGGATTAAGAAAACTTGATATTTGCTTTAGGATTCAGTATGTATCATTGCATACTACTACTGTATAATAAGTAACATATGAGATTATTTAAAATAACTGAGTGTCTTGATTACGTAACAATCAAAAGTAGACAATTCTGTTCACTTTAAATTTGCAGCTTTCCGGATAATAAACTGGTATTACCAGTAGAGGTTTAAGGTGAGAACAAACTGCTTTTGAATACATAAAGACAGTTTGAATTTTCGTTTGGCTAAGGCTTCAATGACCCATAGTATACGCTCTCTAAGACTTTTGTAAAGCACCACAGAAGTCAGGTTAAAATCAGTCTTATGATCTGTTTCAAGTATGTATTTGTCAGTGGAGGAAGTTGGATGTTTATTATATGCTTTTATTGAGTCATTTGATTTGATTTATTTGAACTGATTTAGTCTACTAGTATCCAGTGAATAGAAGCTTCTCGCTACTAAACTTTTAAAACAACTATTGAATATTCTACTTAGCGTTTGTGATGAAAACGATAAAATGAGATCTTCATGTTCATAACGAAAAACAAAGTAACCATTCCATATTATTTTAGTACAATAAAATTTAACTACTAACAAGTAGTTTCAAACGGATGATCAAAATATGCGTTGTAGGATATTAGTTGTTTCATCAGCCTTTGTAAATAGATTAAGGCCGTTTCTTAAACTCGGGATATGAGAACTTCGAGCAGCTATCAACATTTTTCTAAGTCTCAAAGTTTAAGTGTTTCGTTATCAAGTCTCAACTTAGAACATATAATTTTGGAGAGTTTTTTTATCTGATTATTCACAATACACAGAACTTTTTAGAATTTATTTATTCGTCAGAAGGGATAGTAAATGATAAATAACAAGACACGTAGTGTTGTAAAATAATAGATTCTGAGTAAAAGAAGCTTATCAGTTGAGATGTTGACTTATCATGAAATCTGATGGACAATTTGAGTCAAATTTTCTATAAAAACTGATATCATCAAGAAAATCTTTGAAAACAAGTAATCATTTATCAATGGTTTCATCGGAATTATTTCACACGTAGAAATTTACACAACAAAAGACTTGCCACCGTCAAAAGATTATGATAAACATGATAACTCTGATTCAAAAATAACATTGATATAAACATACTTCACAGATAATTATTCTTGATACAGAACAACACACAATATATTATATAATACAGAATTCACTTTCGTAAATAGCAAATTCTTGATCATAAGGTCATTACACTCAGAGTATTTTATTTTAGTCATTAAGTGACATTGAATTCGTAGTTACTTTGTTTGAAGGTTAAATGCGTAACAATAACAAGGAATGTATGTACTTCTAACTGTTCAAGTTGGCTAACTTATAAATAGCATTTTTTGTAAATTATCAATTGATGTAATATCTTAAATGTTACATAAATCAAATATCACAAAGTATATAAATTCATGAAAGAGGTTTTAATTGGTGATAACATAATAATAATAATAATAATAATAATAATAATAATAATAATAATAATAATAATAATAATAATAATAATAATAATGATGATGATGATGATGATGATGATGATGATGATGATGATGATGATGATGATGATGATGATGATGATGATGATGATGATGAGATGATGATGATGATGATGATGATGATGATGATGATGATGATGATGATGATGATGATGATGATGATGATGATGATGATGATGATGATGATGATGATGATGATGATGATGATGATGATGATGATGATGATGATGATGATGATGATGATGATGATGATGATGATGATGATGATGATGATGATGATGATGATGATGATGATGATGATGATGATGATGATGATGATGATGATGATGATGATGATGATGATTTGGATGATGATGATGATGATGATGATGATGATGATGATGATGATGATGATGATGATGATGATGATGATGATGCTGATGATGATGTTGATGATGTTGATGACGATGATTTGAATAAGGTTGATGTTGATGATGATGATCTTGATAATAATGATGATGGAGATGATGATGATCATGATGATGATGATGATGATGATGATGATGATGATGATGATGATGATGATGATGATGATGATGATGATGATGATGATGATGATGATGATGATGATGAGATGATGATGATGATGATGATGATGATGATGATGATGATGATGATGATGATGATGAGGAATTTGATGATGATGATATGATGATGATGATGATGATGATGATGATGATGATGATGATGATGATGATGATGATGATGATGATGATGATGATGATGATGATGATGATGATGATGATGATGATGATGATGATGATGATGATGATGATGATGATGATGATGATGATGATGATGATGATGATGATGATGATGATGATGATGATGATGATGATGATGATGATGATGATGATGATGATGATGATGATGATGATGATGATGATGATGATGATGATGATGATGATGATGATGATGATGATGATGATGATGATGATGATGATGATGATGATGATGATGATGATGATGATGATGAGATGATGATGATGATGATGATGATGATGATGATGATGATGATGATGATGATGATGATGATGATGATGATGATGATGATGATGATGATGATGTGCATGATGATGTTGATGATGATGATGATGATGATGATGATGATGATGATGATGATGATGATGATGATGATGATGATGATGATGATGATGATGATGATGATGATGATGATGATGATGATGATGATGATGATGATGATGATGATGATGATGATGATGATGATGATGATATGTATACTTTATGTTTATTATAGAAATATAATTAAGAAATTTCGTGAAACTTTCGCTATTCACATCTGATATTAATACACAAATTCTTTCACTTTCACACTTATTTACACCATTACTCTATGAAACCACGAAATCATGACTAATTTTCATCAATTAATAAAATACTGAAAATTATACCCAGAAAAGGTACAGATTTCCTAATCAAAATAACCTTTGACTATGGATCCTTATTTTATGGTTACTTGAATTCATCAAGCAATAAATAAGGATCATAAATACATTATTATCATCACTTTTACTTGGAATGTGATTTAGTTATCAACTTATATAAAGTTTAGAAAAACGTTATGATTTTCTTGAATATATACGCACAACACTAAATATATCTAATCATTTGCTTATTAAGCTCGTCCATTCATTTTCAGATGTTCAATAAGAGTACAAAAACATGGATTTTCAGGTATTTTTCTTACTATTTTGTTTGTGAATATTGCATATAATTGTGAAATTTTCACGGGAGATTTCATTTGAAGACCCAGTTTTCACGATATTTGTGTTCTTTCTCCAGCAAGTTAGGCTGCTCTAAACTGAGATGTTTAAGGTGAATAGATTTTGATAGATTTAGATTTTTGGAAAACACTTACAGTGTAAATTATAGTCTTGTATCTAGAAATCACCTACTAAGTGGACTGAAAAATTACTTATTAAACAGTGTAAATTAGATGTTTAATCTCCCGCTGATCATAGAAGTTTCTATAACTTCATTTAATTGAATTATATTTCGCTATAAACCTATTTTAAAGGTTCAAATTATATTGATATTTAATATTTTGTGAATATTCAAGCAATTATCCCTACTTATTTTATAGTCGGACATTTTACTAAGCTACTGAATTTTTTCCTGGTATACCCATAACTGAGAATCATTAATAGTAATCAAGAGTACATATTACGTAAATTGATTTGACTGAATTAAAAACAAATCCACATACAAGCGTAGATACTATTATAAAATTTATGAAAACTGTTGCTGAATGAAAAATAAATATAAAGGTTATCAACAAAAAACAGCTTGAATAAATGGTATAAATGAACGCAAGGAATATAGCGGTACAAAAACATAAATCAACTGACTCTGATTATTATTATCAGATAGCTGCTTGGATATTCCGATAATGTATATCATTTGAACTTATATTACAATTAAATTATTTGTTTCATATTAAACCAATTTGCAGATTTAATATATACTTGGAAAATTTAATATGAACAAATTTACTTCACAATTTCATCTGAAGCCAAAAAGAATAGTTGTTGATGTTAAATGCAGAAAATAGGTAACTCGCTTTCTAGAATGATTAAACAATAGCTTGTTAAATATTGAAAAAAAAACCATCGATGGTGTTACAATGTATCCACCATTATAAATAATTTGATGTTGTATTCATAATGTTTAACTAATAGATGGTTGAAAGCCATCATCACGAGGCCCTAGAACTAGGTCTCGTGCAATTTGGAGATTCTTAGCAAGTAATATCTGTAATAATAAAGCAACTGATGGCTCACATTAGATCATTCATATGTTATTTAAATGTTTATGTACTATATTATTTTTGCTAGAGCACATACAATCATATTTTATAAAGAGATAATACTAGCAAAACCTGCCATTTGTTATTAGAAGTGCTAATATTAACTAATCTATGCATTAATTCAGTTATTCAGTCAACTAAATAAATTTGTAGAAAACAATGATATTAAACTAGTATGGAAATAACTTAGTAAATGCAAATTATC